GGTCAGCTTTACTTTACTTTACTATTTAAAATGCAGTATCCTTCAAATTCTCTAGCTGTCACACTGTCAGATGCCCACCTGTGGGAAACATACTATGATATTCCATTAGTTTAAACTTCATTTGTCTGAATATCAAAATAGAATCTTATTGAACAGAAATACGATCTTCCCACACACTGCATCAAACATGATTGAGTGGTTATCACTCCTGCTTTGTATTCATGAAGATTTGCATTCAAATCTTGCCCAGAGACTGGCTTATCCTGACCAAGGTTTTCAAAGGTGTACCTCACTTCCTACAGGCAAATATTGGGATAGCACTTTAAACTAGCCATGACTGCTTCCTTCTCTTTTCCAATTCATTCAATAATTATCAGATCATTTGACAGTGTATAATATTACCACCTGAAAAGAGTTCTTAAATAAACGAGGATAATAAGTACTGAGGTCCATAGTTTTACCACATGACAAGCACGAGTGCCAAATTAATTTTGTCTGATCTTTCTTTCATTTGTTTACACTCATATTTATACTTTTTCTAATGACAGCTGGATTCAGTTTGATACACAGCTTGAAAAGATTAAGCTGTGATGCGTCCCAGCCACATAAAAGAACAAGTAAAATGTTTGTAAAAAAAATTAAACATGTTTCCTTCCCACATTCCTCTCTGATTTATAAGGGAACCAAAGACTTAGCAACTGATATAATTCATTAACCAAGGCCATTACATACAGAAAAACAGATTAGTCAACACTATATTTACAAGCTCTTCTTTAGTCTGGTGAAATTACGCAATTTAGTCAGCTTTGATCTATTATTCGTGCAGCATATATATAAAACCAAAAACAACAACAATTCACTGAGCAAGGCATGAATTTATATCTATACAATTTCAAAGAAATTTTGGGGTATTACTAAAATTAATCCATTTACCCTTCTTCATCTTCTAAAGACATTTCCACTTTATCTAGCAAATGGGTTTAGCTATCTTTCCAAAGTTCCTTCTTGCTTCCTTCTATGTAACATCTTAGCTAACCACTTGTTCACATTTTTATCTTGGTCTTCCTGTTAGGTACCTTCCTTTTAATTTCATGTTCAACACTTTTGTTCTCTGAATGTCTTTGGCAATGGAATCATATTATGCTACATTCTCTATTTTGGACTGTATCCACCGTATGTTTTTCAAAAGGTCATAAAAGTATTAAAACTTTAAAAATCACTATATTTCAAAGGACAGATCTTCCTTTGTCTTCAGGTAAAGAGGGGATGAGACACTTATCTGCCAGATCCAGTTGAGTTAGCTATTCTAAATCTATGGAATTAAATGACAGTCCACTTATCTAGAAACCATCAGATGTCTATTTTTTGGCCTATTATGTTCTGTATATGAGCAAGAATAACACATTAACTACAGACACATAAAAACAAAATTATTCATCATCCAGATCTGGCACTACTATATTAACTTAATAACGGACTGGTAGTAGAACCTGAAGATACACCACCACTAACACCAAAGCTCACCATTGGACCTAGTATGAGTAAATACTATCTACCTGCCATCCTTACAATCTGTCTCTATTATCAATACACATAAAATTTGCAGGTTTTTCCCCCCTCCATGTTCTAAAGTAAAATTTACAAAACTTAGTCCTTACTTACCCCATGGAGTTAAGTCCTTCCTGTAAAGCCAGCAGTCATTAAGCTGCTCAAGAAATTCCCAACATTTTATGGAACCCAAAGGTTCATTACCATCTTCAAAACAGCCCACCACTGGTCCATATCCTGAGCCAGATGGATTCAGTTTGTACCACCCCATCATATAACTCTAAGATCCATTTTAATATTACTCTCCTACCTATGCCTATGTCTTCCTAGTGATCTCTTTCCTTCAAGTTTGCCCACCAAAACCCTGTATGTATTCCTCTTTTCTCCCATGTGGGCTACATACCCCACCCATCTCATCCTCCTTGACTTCATAAGTCTAATTTTATATGGTGAGGAGTACATACAACTTATGAAGCTCCTCAATATGCAACTTTCTCCATCCTCCTAGTAATTCATCCCTCATAGGTCCAAATATTCTCCTCAACACCCTGTTCTCAAACACCCTCATTCTATGTTCTATGTGCAAGATCATTGCAGCTGCCAACCCTAAGAGCATTCTGTGCTGAAGCATTAACTAGATGGCCACCAAGAGTAACACACCATAAACTTTATGTCACTACAGCCAGATACCAATAACTAATAGTAAAATGGACATAGAACCATGTTCACAAAAGTCCACAAATGTACCCTATCCTGAACCAGTTTAGTCTATTTAACAACTTCATAACCTATATGTCAAACATCAATTTTAATATTATCTTCTCAACTGCTCATGCATCTCCCAAGTGGTCTTTTCCTCAAAGACCTTGTAAAAAAAAATTCTACAGGCATTTCTTTACCTCATGAGAACTAAATGCCCCACCTACCGGGAGTTTTCACCACAAAAATTTTGTACGCATTTATTGCCCTGCATCCTAGCTGCATTCAAAGCCAATCAAAATTTCATAGACTTCACCATCCTACCAAAACTAGTTGATGAGTGTAGATGATAAGTTATATTGCTTATTTCATCATTCATATCAATATTCATAATCATTCTAATAACCATTATCATCTCCAAAAGTGTACAGCATTAAACTAGAACTAATTCTATGTGTGCTACTGAAGTTAACAAACAAGAACTACAAATCTGTTCTACTAACTGGAGTTAATACATTTTACAAACAGACATCTGTATTTATGCCAATGGATGCAATGCTATCATAGCAGAAGACATAAAAACAAATATGAAAATATTCACTTTAACTGGCTGCAGAGGTGTAAGATCTGCCATTATTCCACTCCTAGCAGGCTGCCTTGTATGTGATGTTCTAGATGTAGAAAAAAAACAGCATTAAACTCTGCAGGTGTCAAACATTAAGCAACAAAGTATAGAAACTAAATCTGAAATTATGTCATACATACATATGAAAATACATTCAATGGATCGTAAAATTAGTTAAAATGACTGTCACTATAGGTCCTCAATTTTTTTGTCTCACTTTTATAATAGCATGTATAAAAATATGGCACAAAAATATACAAACAATACATAGTTACACAGTTTCAAAAAACTTTGCATATATTTAATTTGGTATGATATACTGAATAAAATGTACCTGTAACTGTGACCGCTCTTAGATATAAAAAAGCTTAAGGCAGCACTAAAAGAATATCTTCTATCTCACTTCTTCTACTCCATAGAAGAATTTACCTCAACCAGAAATTCTCCAGCTATTATAAATACATGTAAGCATGTATGTAATTATTTTTGTGATGATTGTAAATCACTGGCATAAATATGTAATTTATATTTTAATTGCAAACAAGTTTGTGCTGACACATTTCACATCCTTGGCTTGGGCCTACGATTGATCTATGGGATGTAAATAAATTCTACTCTTCTTTTCTATTCTAGTGAGTCTGTGAGGTCTTTCAGCTTAGCTTTCAATATTCTGTTCCACTGTTATAATTTTAATGAGAATAAGACTGGGCTGTGAACTTGCTGTGTCAAAGGAAGGAAGAAGAATGGCTGAAAAACAGATACTTTTTAATTATTCAAAGTGTAATGTGTTCATTATGAATATTTTTATAACTCAAAATTGATTGCATGAACCTTTAAGAAGCTACGCCAACACAAATTTAAATGTGAATTACGAAAACTGCTCCACTTTCGTAAATAATGTTTCACTTCTGCAAAACTTCCAAATCTAATCAACATGCGGATACTCAACAACACACAACTTTTATGAAGCGAAATGTGATCAACTCTACACTTATTATAAATCAGGCAAAACGTAAAAAGGAAATCCTCAATAAATCACTATCCCTATTTCCACTCCGAATCAAGTTTTTTTCTCACCTTACAATTCAGTCACGTAGATGACACAGGTGCTAATGACTTCCTTTGAATTTTTCATTTGTGTGTTGGTAAAACTAAATGCATTACATTAGCAAACGTATGGTTACTTGCTTATGTTGGTTACACACCCTAACACCTGTCTTCTGTCAATATACCACCGCCTTCTCGACGGAGCAAAAATAAATGTGTTTTGCAGTGTTTACATTGCAGCCAACGTTGCGTAGCATTCTTATCGTGGCGTGTAAAAACCATAAAAAAGAAACAATTCTAAAAGTTGTTCCCTGGTCCTGAATAAACCTTCCTAAATTGTTGCATCACTGTCACTTATTTTTCCTTTGTAGTTTTTCGTTAAGTATGCTACTATTCTTATACTCTACGTCAATCTTTCAAATGACAAATTTCGAATCGCCCCAACTCCCACCAATATTCTATAACACTATTACCATTCCAACTTGTGAGTTACACAGTAATATGAAAATAAAATAAACTAGTTCCTGCATTCATAATATCCTTTAGTCACCATTAGAACAACGTTGCTTGATTTAGTTGCACTGCGAATTGCCCAGCGAGGTACAATGGGAATTTGCGTGCACGTTTTGCAATAACATCAGTACCATCTGATACACGATGCGGAAAAGCTGTATTATGACAGAAATGTGCACATTCATGAATTATTTAAAAATATAAAAAACCCACAATTTTATAAAACACTGGTGATGAAAATGAATATTCTAAAGCAGTAGTTCCCATAGACACTGGTGTTCCACGAGCTCATTCACGGTGATGACAGGCAGATAGAATCTCTAACATCAGCAAACTTCTGACTACACAGTGCTCCAAACCAGAAGATGCCCATACTTATAGTCACTGCAATGAGAACCTCTAATCTTTGTTTGTTAAACTATGTTTCATGTACTGGGTTGGATTGTGATATGATGAGCTTTAAACTCAAATGAATTCATAAACAGTCCTAAATTTAAATTTCTGGCAAATCACTGGTTACTATGGATTTCCTCTTTTCTGGAAATAAACTACAAACACAAAACTGATAATATATCATTTATTCTAAATGTTTACCATATATACTGCAAAAACATACATTTGTATAGATTATAAATATATCTTACCTTTCAGTTTTGTCCTTGAATTATAAGCCTTAATGGTAACAGGTGTACACACAGATAAGGAGTAGAAATACATATGGTATTAAAGTCTTCTTCAAAATGCAATATCTGAATGCTTCAGATATAATTAACAAAGCACTGTACAACTTCCAATATTTTCTCAATACAAAATGTATACAGATGTCTCAAAAAGGTATAAGCATTTTAATAAAGAACATATTGTCACATGAACACTCAGACTGCTGCGATATCATTCCTAGCAACTTGCTGGGTGTGTACCATGCCAACCTAAGAGGGGGGAATGAATGATGAGAGACACTTAGAATGTGGAATCTGGTACATTCCTGAGTGACATCAAAAGGTCCTGAACTTCCCAGCAAAGCTCTAATATCTCCAGTATGTTCTGGAATGAAGATGTGGATGCATAAAAGTGCACAGGCTAGACGCAGTGTCACTGTTGTTGCGAGTCAAGAAAGAGACAAACTTCAGCTGTGTGACAGAGACTTTGGTGATAGAATTAGTGAGTGGAGAGCTGCGCTTATAACAAGATTGAAGATGATGAGTGCAGTGTGAAAAAGAACATGGACTTGAACAATAGAGAAAAGGACCATTATTACAATTATAAAATGCACAACATATATTAAATTATTTCTTGATGGTTGTAATTCAGTTCAATTTGATTTTTAATACACAATATCACTGTGACTATACAAGAGCCCATGCAGGTCATGTTACATGACCTGCTAGCAGACTAACTGAACATTAATTAAATAATAATAATATTAATAATAAACAGATTATAATCCAAACCAAAAATGGAACTTGCCTATTAACTGATACAGCAATACCGCCTGACAGGAATGTGATTATGAAGGAAGCAGAGGATCTTGAAATATAAGGACCATCTCATTGAAATACAGCGAATGTGGAAAGTGAAAGCAAAAATAATTCCAATAATTATAGGAGCAACTGGAACTGTCTCCAAGTCACTTAGAAAATATTTGGCCAACATTCCGGGTGAACACGGCATCAGGTAACTGCAGAAAGCTGCCATTTTGGGATCTTGATACATCATTCAAAAGACGCTGTCATAAAATATGTAGTCATCTCTAACAATAAAACTATATAATAAATGTAACACATATTAAAAACAAAATGTGTTTCGGAAACAGCTGCTGCACTATGTACCTTAGGGACAAGGTTTGTCTCGGGTACATGGAAGTAAATACCCTATAAAGTATATAAGATATATCCAATTTCAACAAGAACCCACAAGTAATTGCTGGTTCCATTAGAATATTTTCAAGTATTAATGACAGGACCAAAATTAAAGAAGCCTGATGTAATGTCATGTACAACAGATGGTGTTACTTGCAATGAACAAATGTACGGAGATGAGAAATTTTTTTTACTACCAACCCTCATATTTTTGTTGCAATATCAGGGACTATCTGAATGCAAATTTCCCAGATTGGTAGGCAGAGTAAAGAAGAACCACTGAATACCCGACTTGGCTCCACTATAATTTTACTTGTTCACTTGCAGGATAAAGTGTATGGCAGAAAACCATGAACAAATGAAACTGAGCACTCACGTGCAGTTATGGGGAGGGGGGGGGGCAGTGCAAGTCTATCACTCAGTCTTGTACTGCTGTCAGTGATGTCTAGAGAGACATTCTTCTTCTATGGCTCTCCAGTCCGTATTCGGTCCATGGCCTCCTAAATTCTCTTCCAACCCCCAACCTGGAGGACCCTAGACAAACATTAACGGTGGCCAATTCTGACACTTTAGTAGTTAAACATGCAGCACATACCACTGCTACTATACACAAAAAATATAATCTTTTTCTGAATTATATATGTACGTTCTTCATTATTAATATGTATGTACATTTTTGAGACACTTCAAATATATACAGAAAGTAAAAAAAGGGCCTGTTTCACTTCATCATCCTGTATTGTTGACTGGACGACTTATACGGTTGTTTGTTGTCATAGCACGTATCTCCCACCTGAAAGAGAACCACATACTGTCCACCGGCCACGAGAAAATCCCTGCGGGGGAAAGTCGGTTCTGGTGTGATGCAGGTGGACTAGAGGGCTGCTATTGGTGGGAAGTGTGAAACGCCAGAGAGTTATGCTACTACACACAGACTGAAAACATCAAGCAGTTAAGAGTAGCGTGTAGTGTGTGTCACTAACCGCGAAATCTTGCGCTTAAGCGTATATCAAATTCCTCGCAGGGATTTTCTCCTGGTCTGTGGACTGTACATTCTTTGTGAGCAAGTGTGTTACAGAAAAATCAGCAATATCCCTCACTGTTCAACTGCAGATATAGATCTTAACTTCATGACTTGTACTTTTCAACAAATATTAACTGTGAGTCTATGACAGATTCCACCTCAACTCCAGATTTTTCATATTACAATGACTTGAACTGTATGATTTGGAGCTGCCACGGCTGAGTATAACAAATTCTTCTTGGGCTATCAGCCATGTCATGGCTGATAACCCAAGAATTTATTATATTAACCTGTAATGGTTATTATAAGTACTTCTGCACATGACTGCATTGCAACAACTGGAAAAATCCATTATAATATTTCAAAATAATTCACTGTAATAACAATACTTACTTAATATCTTCAGGCAGCAATAACTCTTCGAGATGATTCTGTATTACCACAAGCAAGCATAAGGTATGTAAAGTAGGTGCTGAAAATAGAATAAACTACTAATGACAAGAAATAGTTAACAAAAAAACACTGTCATCCATAATAATAAGTTACAAATATGAAAGGTATAGTTGTCCCTAGTATTTAACAAAGCACCAAACTGTGCAGTCAAATAGGGAAGCTGAGGTATAGCTACATGCATTCTTAAGTTCAGCACTAGATTGAGGTCAGTGGTCAGTTTCACGGCTCAGATGCTTTGTCCCCGAGAAAATAGCTCTGGTAACCAATGAACAGGAGGCTCTGTGAGTCCCACAGCTGGGAATCAATCCACAGCTATCACATAAATTGATGCCATATGAACTAACAAAATGTCAAAATTTAAGTTTATCTATATTCAAATGTAACCTTTAAGATATGAGAATTTAATTGTTCTTGTACAACCTCATGGCCAGGTTGAATTGGCACTTAAAAGCTTCAAAATACAGGGAGTTGTAAAATAAATTGTAGTCCATTCACCACAATTTTAATCTAGAATTTTTTCAAATAAAATGTAGACTATTAAACATGATGATGGATGAGTGACAGTTTGTCATGTGAAGAGAGAGACAGAGCTACAAGACTGATGTATGTAGATCATATGCTTCAACTTTGTTATCTTAAGTTGGCTGCCACATCTTCAATATTGCAACACTTCTCATATGAAATAAATAAACATCATAAACAGTATAATCAAATTAAAATTTGGTTATTCCGGGTCTGGCCAATGTGTGACACAGCAAGTCTCAACATTCATGGAAGAATGTAGTACTGTTAAAAAATCTTCATTTAACTACCAAATGCGGCTTAACTTCAAGTGGTCATAGTACAAACTGGTGTGTCAAATCATCAGGCAATTTGTTCATAACATTTTGAGTTTGTTGTCTTATGCATAGACAGACTGCAGAGTCCTTGCTACATGCCACAGATGGTGAAGCAAACAGCTGATAATGCATGCATCAGCACAGTGACAGAAAAGAGGATTGTAGGTGAAACACAGGAAATAAGGAAAGTTATCATTCATACAGGCAAGTAGATTAGGGTAGCCTTCAATATCATGACGTGCACATCAAGACCCTCAAAAATCTACCAACTGGTTGAAAATTAATAAGAGTGAAAGGATAACAGTCAAATGAATATAATATAAATAAGAGAAGTATGCTAAAACTGAGCAACATACCAAAATCCAGAACGTGTAGATCACTGTGGTCTACAAGTTTTGCTTCCAGACCCTGATGGTTGCCATCAATGTCATAATCTTGTATCCCATGGGGATTTGGGACTGGAAAAGGGCTTGTGCCGCCAAAAAGGAACACCTTATCCCCTACCAAAAGACATGCTTGACGTCTTCTTTTGCTGGGAGGCTTACCCAAAGGTTTCAAAAGCTGCCATTCATTATGTTCTGAAAAGAGAAGAAATCTTAATTAAAATCGATAACACTATCTTCAGCACCAGAAAAATAACATCACCCGACCCCCATCTGAGTTTAACGTTGTTGACATTTCAATTTAGTAACAGTACACTGCCATCTTCATATTTTATCGTATGTATGTCACTATTACCCAATTACTTCGTCCTTAAAAGCCAAAGCTCACCTAAATAATATTAAAAATTCAGTTGATCAACTGGTAGATGCTTTTAAAGGGAATAATCAATGTTTATTGCAAGAATCATATAAAATCCACACTAAAACACTAGGCAAAATGCAGTATTACTGACTGTGAAAACAAGTGGTACATAGTTATCACTGTGTATTAGTGGGTTAAACAAGGATTCAGCACTGGCTGATTGCAGAGTGGACAGTAACTAAATGTTTACTATGGGTGGTATTTTTTTTTTCAAATACATGTATCTTTTGCATCCAGTTAGTTTTATTTTATTATAATTTGCAAAAGGTTCTGTGATTATATTTGATTCATAAACATTTTGTAATCAGACCATAAATACGGAAATTTAGGAAACTGAACACTTGGTATATTTGTTATAAAGGTCATGTGAGAGAAATTTATGTGATATACCATAAAGTCGTCACTGTGGACTACAGAAAATAGTCTAAATTTCTTAACCCTTTGCGTCCTATGTCGGACTGAGCCCGCCACATGTTTTATGAATTTTTTTACGTGATCTGGAGTCAAACTGAGGCTGGCAAACAATGTCAGCATATCATTCAAGCCTTCTTCTTTGCCCTACTTCTATCACAGTTTTCCTGGCAAGACTTTGTATACTTTATAATAGTGAAAGGAGGCAAGAGAGAAAAGTCGTTTTATTCTGACATGTGTCCAAGGAATCCAGGATGCCACACCAAGTGTTTTGCCATACATCATACAGTGAAGGAATACCATCAGGTGTGTAGCTGTCATATTTACTTAGAATAGAAGTATTTTATATCTGATAAAGTTATAAAACAAATATTCCATCTTCCTGCTTGAAAATTAAATTTTTTAAAATAATTTTACAAGCATAGAGCAATCCACCACTGACATATGCAAGCATTCTTTATAAATAGTGATTTCATCATTTACACGTCACATTCTGTTTCACTTTTTAGCTCTGAGAATATGAAATCCAATGCTTATACATCGTATATCTGCATGCAATAAGAGATGTTTAGATGTCACCAAAGTCATATCGATCAACTGGTAGATGCTTTTAAAGGGAATAATCAATGTTTATTGCAAGAATCATATAAAATCCACACTAAAACACTAGGCAAAATGCAGTATTACTGACTGTGAAAACAAGTGGTACATAGTTATCACTGTGTATTAGTGGGTTAAACAAGGATTCAGCACTGGCTGATTGCAGAGTGGACAGTAACTAAATGTTTACTATGGGTGGTATTTTTTTTTTCAAATACATGTATCTTTTGCATCCAGTTAGTTTTATTTTATTATAATTTGCAAAAGGTTCTGTGATTATATTTGATTCATAAACATTTTGTAATCAGACCATAAATACGGAAATTTAGGAAACTGAACACTTGGTATATTTGTTATAAAGGTCATGTGAGAGAAATTTATGTGATATACCATAAAGTCGTCACTGTGGACTACAGAAAATAGTCTAAATTTCTTAACCCTTTGCGTCCTATGTCGGACTGAGCCCGCCACATGTTTTATGAATTTTTTTACGTGATCTGGAGTCAAACTGAGGCTGGCAAACAATGTCAGCATATCATTCAAGCCTTCTTCTTTGCCCTACTTCTATCACAGTTTTCCTGGCAAGACTTTGTATACTTTATAATAGTGAAAGGAGGCAAGAGAGAAAAGTCGTTTTATTCTGACATGTGTCCAAGGAATCCAGGATGCCACACCAAGTGTTTTGCCATACATCATACAGTGAAGGAATACCATCAGGTGTGTAGCTGTCATATTTACTTAGAATAGAAGTATTTTATATCTGATAAAGTTATAAAACAAATATTCCATCTTCCTGCTTGAAAATTAAATTTTTTAAAATAATTTTACAAGCATAGAGCAATCCACCACTGACATATGCAAGCATTCTTTATAAATAGTGATTTCATCATTTACACGTCACATTCTGTTTCACTTTTTAGCTCTGAGAATATGAAATCCAATGCTTATACATCGTATATCTGCATGCAATAAGAGATGTTTAGATGTCACCAAAGTCATATCAATCAACTTGGACTTGCTTTATCCCCTACCGAACGACAGCAAGCAGAAAGGCACCACTTATTACACATCTCACTAGCGACAGTGGTACAATCCATGAAAAATATTTCACACTGTCAGTATTTAAACAAGGGGAACTGTGATCCTCTCAGAACATATTTTCACCATATTAAGCAAAGTGTCTTCTGCTTGATGCAAGTTACAAAAAGAAATGAAGCCAGTTTATAATAGTAGTTGAATTTATACAGCTTAGTGATATTTAAATAGACCAGCAGAGAGCCGTAGTGATATTTAAAAGGGACCGCAAAGGGTTAATAAGATTTTAACCAACAATTTTCTGAATTAAAATCTGGTGTAGTAGTAGGGGAGAAGCTCTACCTTCTTCTCTTAGCTTTCATTTCTCTTTCCTAATACTATTTTGGTGAATTTCTTAAGGTATTTTTACTTCAAGTGAACTAGTATTTTCAAAGCAAATATATATATCTAACAGAATGACATATTGGGACAATTACATATTAGCAAATGTGAACAAAATTAGTCCCATTGTTCTCAAGTTATGAGATTACACAGCATAAAACCCACTCTGTTTAATTATCTCGAAACTGCAAGACTTACAGAAAAAGTATATTGTGCATGTTTCGTTCTCCTCTAGAACTTCTGTTTAAAATGTTTTTCATTCACATAAATATTTAGCAAGTTATGCTCAAGATGTGCTGAGTAACACATGTGAGTCTTCATGTAAACTTAGTCAACAACGTTAAGTAAAACTCTCCAGTATCACATTTCATGAAAATCTGCTCAGTGGTTCTTGAATTGCTACATGTAAATAAGCAGTCAGACAAAACGACACATTTTTGAAACTTCACTGTGGATGTGCATTAAAATGTCAAACTTACCTGAAGAAAATCGGTAGAGATCATTGAAGTGTTCATCATGTAACCCATTATAACCTCCAAAAATGTACAAATTTCCTTTGTACACAACTAAAAGAAAGAAAAAGAAAGAAACGTTAGTCTTGATTCAGGCTTTCATGGCATCTGGCTCCTTAATATATTCTAGTTACACTTTGAGATATATTATAAACGGTTTGTCAGTAAGTGTGCCCTGATGTGAATGTTTCTGCATACACATAACAACAGCAGCAGCAGCAACAACAACAACAACAACAACAATCCAAAGTGTCATTAACATGAGAAATATTTCATTCAACCCTTTCCATCCTTTTGTAACAAATGTATGTAAAGCAAAAAGTTAAGCTGTCCCACTATGCGCTATGTAGGTGCTTGGGGGGGAGAGGAGGGAATAACTCCTACTCATTTTTGACCTCGACACTATAAGGGGTGAGTGGTCAGCATCACGCCCTGGCTGTTCTTTACCCTTGGGGAAGGACCCCAGTACCCACTGGATAGGAGGCTGGGTGAGCCCGAGCCCTGGTCTGGACGCAGAGACTAGAGGAAAAATCCTCTGCCCCCATTGGGGATTGAACCCCGGTCGTCCAGTCCGTAGACAGTCACTATACTGACTAGAAATAATGTAGAAAATAAAATGCGATAAGTGACAGCCCTGCAGAGCAGTAGGCTCATATTGTTGATGTTACAAAAAGAAGGTTATAAGTCCACACTTGAGCAAGCCAGCAAAACAGTACGAAGGCAAAGTGATCAGAATATATCATTTAAAATGAACCTTCTGTTCACTACCTGCATATCATTGCCAGATAAATTTGTAGCATCTGATTTAAATTCCAAAATAGTGTGAAGGATGTCTGAACTGTAAATCAAAATCTAAATCTAACCATTCATTGTGAAAGTGGTCAAACCTGTAACATTAACATAAGAAAATTGGAGAAGTGTAAAAAACTGAGTATGTATTATTAGAATGCACAACATCTTTTTTGTTAGAATACAGGTGGCAATCCTAATGATATTAAGCAACAGTACGTATCCACAAGTGGAGCAAATTGCTATCAGTTCCTAGCCAGCCTAGATAACAGTAGCATCAAGTGAATGCCGATAAAGCATGGCGAACAGACGTATCAGATTTATTCTTCCAGCATGAGAATGATATAGATATAAAAATGAAAGGGATGCCACTCTTACAAAACTAGAAAAAATATAAACAACCATGATCCAACCTATCAAGCAAGTTGAGATAATTTCTGCTAAAGATGACTATGTTAATGACTGATAAACATTGTAAACAAATGAAATGTTGACAGCATTTGTGCAAGGATATGGAAGACCATATGGTCATACAAAACTATACATATCAAAATCTGAAGCAATAAATTAGTGGCCACCTACTAGAATAGAATAGAATTTATTTACATTCTATACATCCTTCATAGGACAATCCAAGGATGTAGAACATATCATAGCACAAATACAATACTTCTTTGTAACAAAAATATAAATTAAATAGTTATAATAATTTGCAGTCACTTACAGTATTACTGCAACAATAATTACAAAAGAAAGCTTCACCACTATTGATTTCATGTATTTATAATAACTGAGAATTTCTGGTCGAGATACATTTTTCTATGGAGTAGAAGTGAGATAGGGGATACTTTTTAGTCATGGCATAAACTTCTTTATATCATGATTCAGACTTTTCATAGGAGGGGAAGGTTACTGAATAGCTTAATTCCAGTGTAGTAAACACCTTTTCAATATGTACCGAGTTTAGTGTTTTGCACATGAAGGTTATATCTGTATCTTGTACTTATATTGTGGATATCTGTGACAGGCAGTATGGTTTGTAGTGGTAAAAATAATGACCACACACAAATTCTATGATAGAACTGGCAGCAAATGTGTCAAAAACCATACTTACATGCTGAGTGGCTTCTTCGACCAATTGGGATATCTCCAGATGTAACAGGCCTGTGCCACCTGCCTGTATGAGTGTCAAGGTACATGATGTCACTACAGTAAACTTCTTCTTGTGAGTGATAAGGTCCATTAAGATCTCCTCTCCCTCCAAAAATGTACATTCTACCTTCAAGTGCTGTTGCAGAGTGGAAATCTCGATATGATGGTGGTTCTCCCTAGTCACAGAAAAGTATTAATGAAATGTATGAAAACAGTTAATCTTTGGTAAATACTTCAGAGTAGTGGAGGAAGAACCATAAAAATTGTGATTTTCAACAGACACTTTGGCAAATGCTGGGATACCACCTTAAATTAGCAACTTCCTTCCATATTCTTTTGAGTTAATCATTTACTGATCATCCTATAATTCGATGCTATGCAGTCTGATCTACTGACAGAATAATTAAATAAACAACAAATAAATGTTTGCTGTCCATACACCTAAACTATGACAAAATCTACGTTCATATTTTAAGTGGGGCACTGCCATAGGTGGCTTAACTGATGACCCGTCACTGTAAGTACAAAGCCTTACCTGAGTAATAATGTAATTCCAGTGCATTGTACGAAAATCTAAAGCATGAACATCCTGTGAAAATCTGTCAATCTCCTCTTCAAAACCACCAAACACATACATGCAGTGGTTGATAACGCATGCTGAATGACCATCCCGAGCACCCGGAATCATTCCAGTAACCTCTGGACAACTCCACTGAAGTGTACCTACATTAAAATATATTTTGATTGTATTAACAGTGTCTTCATCTAAAATTAATTTTCATTTTGAGATCACTTGCAACCAACTTACTTGTGTCAAAACAAAAGAGGACATTACAAGCTGCTTCATCATTTCTACCGCCCCACACAAAAATTTTGTCTCCATATGCTACAGCTGTATGGCCATATCTCTGATAAGGAACACATGCTGCATCTGGGTCATTTTGTTTCGATAAAGGGAGCGCATGCCAGCGGAAATTTGACGTGTTAAGTACATGGATGTCCATGGGTCGACGCTCCCGATAATTGTCTCCTGTACAGTACCCTCCAAAAGAGAAAATCTTATCCTCAACCACAACGGCTGCATGATTCACTCGTCTTGGACCTCCTTCTAAATGAACTGTCCAATACATTGGAGTTCTGAAAAGAAAAACAATAAATATAACTTACGAGTTCATTTGCTCATACATGTACACGTGCACAGAATCCCAGACCTGATATTAACGCACATTTACAAATGAGTGGAACAACAGATTATAATTTTAAATTCATTCCAGTTGCAAAACTGCTGTAAATAAACATAACCTAACCTACGCTGCTATGTCAAATAAATTTGGACTATCTTGTATTTCCTGCCGACTATACGCACCAAAATATCAGGCCAGCCTTCAGGTTCGATATATATTCAATTAATATAATTACTCTCTCAGTGTTGCTTCGTTTTAGTATTGGGCAGGTATAAATAAAAAGGTTTCACAGTACAAAACATATACTCAACCATCCACAAACTGCGAAAAACTAGGCCGCTAATCACTTAAAGAAGCTCCAATAGCAAGCAACCTCACGTTTAACAGCTACAAAACAGAAGAAGCGCCAAACGGAAACTCTGCCCAGCTGAATCACAAGCTAAATTTTAAGAATGTTTTGTATTAAACTTTATGGAACATGTTTTGGTGTGGGAAGTAATAAAAATAGAGCACATTTTAATTACATTATGTAGTGAAAGCACGGTGTTGTGCAAATTAATGTGAACGAAAGATCTGTTACTCATCAAAGCCTTATTTTTTTACAATCTTAACAAATTAAACGGAACTTATTTAGTATTTAATACTTATTTAGAAGCTCCTTTGACTTTTATAGTAATTTTAACCGTTTCAGATGCTGAGTCCACAAGTTTCTTACGAGTTGGAGTTGATCCTTGCAAACTATATATGCAATGTAGGGAGTTACAGCTCCTACTCATTCTTACCCTCGGTACTGGAGGGGGCGAGTGGTCAGCTTCATGTCTCAGCCGCATTTTGACCCCAGAACAGGACCATTGTACCCATTGGATAGGAGGCTGGGTGGGCCCCAGAGACAGTCTGGACATAGAGGCTAGAGGAAAAATTCTTAGCCCCCATCAGGGATTAAACCCCATCTCAGATATTTTCAGCGAGTGTAAAAAAGATAATGAAAATATAAATTTAATAAACTATGTACATACATAACTTTACACCACAAAATGGATAATATCATTATAAATTGATAATTTTCTGTGCTCATTTATCGTAGGAAGCAGTACTATAAAACTATTTTACTCCTATTTTTTACTTCTGACATTGGCAAATTATATTTCATGCTTAAGTACAAACATATTGTTGAATTTGTTCCTAGATGAATTCCAAAACAAAAGTTCAACTCATTTGCTGTTACAAATGTTTCCCATTATAAGTTGGACATGGTGCTGCACACTATCCTTGTTTTAATTATTCTGAGTGACAGAATATTTGTGTTTTATTTTATTTTATTGCCAACATTTTCACTCTTACTCCTGATGTGAGTTGAGGTGCAAGATTTTGGGATAGGGAGGGGAATTTTACATTTTTTTTCCAGCATGACAGGATATGGAATAATTCTGTGCAGTGTGGCATCTGTAGTGCCTTTCACTTTATAACCATAAATTTGTACCTGTACTCTAATGTCATTATTCCACTGGAAATATTTTGGTGTCCAGCCAATCCAAAATACCAGAAATGTCAATTTATTATGTACATGGTCATCTATATCTACGTCTTGCAAGAAAGGCTTGTAAAAAGTGCAGAAATTCAAGCCAGTATTTATGTACTTAAGTATTTTACATTTCATCACATTTAATTAAAGTTTCAGAATTCATGTCATTGCTACTGCTAGTCTTACTTATTCAGAAGATAATCTAACAGTAGAGTGCCCCAGATTATTTTTAGGTGTTAGTTCTGACAGAAACTGTGATCATTAAATGTGCCTATTATTCTGTTATTGTGAAATATTAAAGCAGCTGTTATGTTGAAGTGGGGGACATTTGTGTTAATGAGTCCAGAAGTGATACTTCTTTATCAAAAGTATGAAAATTACAGATTCAGATTCATACAGTTCTGTTGGCATACAAGCTCTACAGTGGGTAGAAATAAAAATTTCAGGTCTACCATACAACACAAAACATCAAAATAGAGCACGAGATGACTCAGGATTATAAAGAAGCTATTGATATGCTGAAAATGTTGTGTTATAACTGTTTTTTAAAAAAATATATATATTGCATGATTTATGTTAAAAATCACATAACTCAAAATAATGTTTTTGGCACCACAATTGAAAAATAATTCTTAAGGAAACTGGCTAATATTTCAGTAATAACTATTTTAATTTTTAACTTCCTTATAAATTAAATAAATAACATGAGCTGAACACTGTTACTATTTTTGCATAGACATATCACCATACAAGTCAATTATGATTACTTGTCTTTCTGTCATATGCTGCTTGACAATATGAATTTTGAATTATTTCATATGCCCGTGTACATACTTTTATTATATAATGGTACTAATCTGTATATTGTAAATAAACATTGTAGACAGATTATTTCATATGACCTTATGGATAATTTTACTATTACACAATGTTAAGTAATTTATTTTTATATTATTAATAAACATGTATAGATATATAGGATTTGAAGATTTCATAGCAAATGAATGCAAAGAAGTCTTTTGGGCCCTCAGTCACAATAGAAAAGAATTAATATCCAGTGTTTTGGGACAGTCTCTGAAGCTTCGCATAACTCCATCCTCAAACAGCTGATCACCCAACAAGACTTCACTACATGTATTGATGTGCTGGTAATAATTAGATTTACAGACTATTACTTGTATAAAACAATGCGAGACAGACCAAGTACCAGTCCTTGGAAAACACCGCTATTTTGCTGTTACATTAATCATAAAACACCAGGTTTCATTAACCACTGGAATCTCGATAAGAACTAATCAAATAATGAAAAGGGGTTCAATTTCTTTTCAAATAATTTTGTATTATTAGCTTTTATCTCTCTTTTCTCCAGTTCCAAATTTTAATTCAGCAGCAGCCAACTGGCAAGATCACGGCACTACATTCCATGGAGTGAATGAGTCTGCAGCTGGTTCAGGAAACTGAAAATTAATATAAAACTAAACAATATTTTTCTCATATTATAAACACACTAACTATATGCAACAAAAAATTCCATATTTGGTGAAAATTCACAATTCTTCACTCTGTGGTATAGTTGGAGCAATAGTTTTTGGCCAGTGGAATTTTCAAGGGGAAGGCTAGGAGCGAGTCACTTGTGCGATAGTATAATGCTGACTGCACCAAGGAACTTATTGGACTGAATGCCCAAACAAAAGAAATACACTGACCGTGCCACCTCAGGTACACAGAGTAGGCCCGTCCGCTAGCTTCTCCACCAGCCAAAAACTACTGTGCTGACTATAAGAACATGGATTGAAGAGGTCTGACTTGTTAGTTATTCTTTTATGTCTGTTAGTTTAGGAATAATGATTTTATAAAATGCTGTTCTGAAGAATTGTCAAGGTTCAAGGGAGAAAACATATTATTTACCTTAGCAGTGATTTCATCATCACAAGCCATCCGGATACGAGCTGCTGTAGCTGGAGAATCAAGTTTAAAAGTTCCCTTCAACCCTCTCTCTGCTCTGGCAGCTGTGATAGCTTCTTTGAGTGCAAAGAAAATTGATGAAGCCAGAAATAGGGGTGGTTCACCAACAGCCTGAATAAAACAAGAGCAGGAAGAATGCAGCACATTTATTTTAAAAATGTATTCTTCACTTTTTTGTATAACTCTCTGCCCTTAATGTTAATTTATTATGGATATAAATCTATAGTTGCAAAGGAAATCATGGCTGTGGGTATCTGGTTATTTGTCTCATCTTCTGTTAAATATTCATCATATGAAAAAATGTTTCAAACTCAAATTATAGGCCCTAATCTCAACTGTATCTGTATTTTACAACATGTATCAAGTCTTTGTACAATAATTTGTTTGGAACAAACTGATTTATTTTGATTTCTGTGTCATAAAAAGTACATATTATAATGGACTGATATGAACCAAACAACTCTTACTGTACTAAATGTATAAAAATTCATTCAATAAATAAAGCATCATATGAACATCAACCTACTCAATAACAAATCGACTTGCTCAGTAAAAAATCTATCAGTGTTCAAGATCTTCCTGTTGTAAACACATACCTTTGAGGAATACACAGCATGCTTATTTGGTGCACCTTTCAGTAATGAAACGTTGAACTCTGAGGGTATGTCTGCAAATCCTGGTATCTTGTAAACACCAGGTCCTCGTGCAAAAACTATGCCACTTGATGAGTACACCATTTCTTCCAATGTGAACAGACCATACCCTTGCATGAAACCGCCTTCCACCTGGCCCACATCAATGGCAGGGTTCAGGCTGTCCCCAAGGTCCATCACAATGTCAGTTCTCAGCACCTTCAGTCACATTTTTAACATTTATGTACCTCAAACTGTGGTTAACCTCTGTCATTTGTTTTCTAGTTTACTTACACTGAAGTGGTTAGTTGTTATTTTCGGATCTAACAATTTTTTATTTACATAGTCTCCTTTATTAGTAAAATCATATTTAATAATATTTAGTTCATCCTTAATACTAATTCTAGTATTTACTTATTAGGTTATATAATGCTGAAGGAGAAATTATAGGATGATTATGAAATAGTGTTTTTAGAAGGATTTGGAAAGAAGCAATCATGACCTATTTTAAGGAACATAGGTGATTCAAATGTGACCTGAAACTCTAATTACACAGCATGCAAATAAAGCATTTCATTCAGACAGTCTTCTCAAGGCATTCTCATTAAACATGTCATATGAAATAACTGTGGGAAAAATGAGTGATCCACATTGTAGTTTATGAGAAACAATGAAAATTTGGGGACCAAATGTGAACTGTCCTCATAGCACAGCATTTGCCTGAAGGGACTAAGAAAAACCTGAAAGACCCTTGGCCAGTTTCCTGAAGGAAGAAAATAAACAGGTGCCAGAAACAAGCAAACAAAATGGAGTGAAAAATAAAGAGTTAAACAAAAGGAGAAGGAAATGAGGCCTTAAAAACCACTACAAAATAAACACTACCCTTACATTTTATTTTATTTTTATTTATTCCTTCTGTAAACTATAGATTATGTAAGTGTTGCACTGAATGAGATCAGAAAATTATGATGCGACACTACTTTGTGAAAAAGGCATCAGTGTATTATGGGCACTAATATCTGCCTCTTTTTAGTTATAATACCTGGCGTTGCACATATTAGAACCTCATTAAATATAATTTAAATAAATTAATAAAACGTGACAGTTGTAAAGTTACCTGATGATCACCTGTCAGGCAGTCTATCTCAACTTCTGAACATGCTGCACCATATGTGAAGTATTTGAAAGGAATGCCTTCATTTTTTGAAATGTCATATCCAATGCCAGGTGTACTGAAAAAAAATACCTGAGAATTAGTGTGTAGCCAAGTAAAAGCCAATACAAAATTATTGCTAATACATAAATGGAAACTGTTTAGCATACAAATGGAAAAGAAGAAAGTCATGAAAAATAATCTGTCTTAATATTTATTGTTCTCTGTTATTATAACTTTGGAATTTATCTATGAAAGAAAAAGACAGAACAGTAGTACAGAAAGAAGATTTAATCATTTGAAACCAAGGCTTGTTTAAAAAAGATTTCAGTCTACACTCTAAGAAAACACAACACTTATCCATTTCAAAGATGAACTAATGCTGTTTAAGGAATTAATCTGCTTACAGTGACAATCATATGAAAGCCATAAATAAAAAATGCAGAGTTACTGATTGTAAAAGCATGTGCTACATACAATTACCACTGGGCTTTAAAGGGTTAAGGAGAGGGTAGGGAAAATAAAGGATAAACAAATGACAGAAAGAAACACTGAAAATGTTATTTTTAATACACAAGTGTTTATGTTAAACGGAAACCTCAGGACTTCATTATAAGCAAGTTTAATTATACTTTATAACCTATGCTTGGAATTTATTTGAACTAATGAACATAGAATGAACAAGAGTAAACCTACTGATGATGATCTTGTGAGTTTTGGCACTGTGCAGACTGGTCAGTAGATGCCAACATTTTGGAGAAATGTTGGTATATACCAACTAATCCACACATCATTACCATCACTGTAAAAACCTCAGATCTCACTAGAGCTAGTCTGAAAAACTTGAATTCACCCAAACATCTGAAATTGTAGTGTGGAAGTGGTTAAGCTCAGAGACAGCAGGGATAGCTGACAGCAGCACAATGCATCCAAGTTTCCTTGCCAGACTGTATTTGGAAAATTATCAATTGTAGAAGGATGATTCACTTAAGCTTCATCAACAACATATGACTTAATTAGTTAAGACAGCATCATTAAATAATCAAAAACAAATTCATCAATCAACCATTTACAATAGGAGATTGTATCAATAACAGAATATTTATAGAATTAATTTGGATGTATATATCGTTATGACATCATCAAGTGTGGCTCATGCTCCATGATTATATCTCATCTATTTAGGTTATTCAGTGTTAAATGAGAACAGGAAATACAATTAAGAAGGCGAATCCGTGAAGGAATCAGTCTAGTCCCATCTGCATAGAATAGCTGAAAATGACAAGTTAATATCTGAATTTTAAGGATAATGAGGCTATTGCTATGCTTCAGAGCAAGTGTCTGATAAGCGATTGAGAAGTTTCCACCACCTGTAGAATCCAGTAGCTGAGAGACTGACTCGTTCACAGTATGCTGCCCTTACCCAGTCTACCCATTTGCCTTTTGGGTTTGCCGCTTTGAATGGTTCCAATCTTTTACGAAGTGTTTCACAAGCATCCTGCAATATAGCATAAATACAAGTGTAGTAGGTCCAACTGATGCTAAAAGGCTGTAAGTTCAGTAATGTGAATGCCATCTGTTAACAGAATGTGTCTATAACAAGCTTCAAAGAATTAATAACTAATGAGGACTTGAGCTTTTGATGGCAGATCTACAGACATTGAACCATATTTTAATTTTGCATGGACTACATCATAAAATAAATAGACTTCACTACATAAAATATGAATTCATTCTTGGATTAAACTCCACCAGCAAATAGGTTTTGTGTAAGAGATGGAGAGATATTAAAAAAAGGCTCATTACCCATGGTAAGAACAGTCAGTACCCACTAGATAGGATGCTATGCCCAGACCTAGTCTGGACATGATGGAATAGTCCCTGTCCCTGCTGAGAATCAAACCCTGGTCATCCAGCTCATAGTCAGTCATTATACTGAATGAGCTGGATTACTTAACCCTTTGGCTCTTTACTCTAAAAATTACTGGGTACCCCCCCCCCCCCAATTACCACCAAAACTCTGATATTCTCATTGTATATATTGTACTCCAAATATGGCTATGACATTCTTCCTGTTCATATTCTGCATTTCTGTTATCATGAAGCAATATAACCAATGAAAATTCCCTGTTCCTTTTGAAGATTTTGATGTAAGACACTTGAGAGTTGATTATACAGTTCAACCAAAATCCTCAGATGGAATGTCCAAACTATATAAAGAAGAAAGCAGTGCACATTTAGGTCCACTAAAGGGTTAACACTTTCTAGTGCAGTGATGCTACATGAGATGAGAAAATGATCATGAACAATAAGTAGGCAAGGATACAGAAGTAGGTAGTCATTGCCTATTTGTAGGTAAAAACCCAGAATTTCTTGGGACTGAGGAAAATCATAAAATACCTTAGCCAGACAGTAACTTAGAAAAATTCAGGACTAGGCACCTCCCAAACATAAGTCTAGGACATGTCTTCACTGCATCGTTCTTTTAGTTGGAGAGAGAAAAGAATTTTTACTGTACTGAAAGAGATGGCAAGACTGTCACAATTGTTCACAGGACCGAGTATGCAAAGGAACACATAAACATGCTGTATTATATCTGTAGTGATTAAATACAAGTTTACCAGTTAAAGGTGAAGTTTTTTATGTCACTTTTTGTGGGATGTGACTTCATGTATATTCCAAGACAAGGCAAATAAAATTAGACAAAGCTCTTTCATCTGTTTACCCATATTTTATAGACTGCTTATGAATACTGCCATGAAAAGTATCAGTTGAAAGCAACAGCGGTCTATCACGTATTTCAACACTTGCATTTATTGTCATGTTTGGAGCAAGTTTCACAATACAGCATCACAAACGTGTTCTGACATGAATTTCTGTCCTATTACAATTCCTCATATTCTACAAGTATATGAGGGGTGTATACAAATGATTTAGACTAACCTGAATTATGTGATCCTTGATGGTGGTGGCTCCCAGGTTACACTTCGGCCTGTTCCACATATTCTCCCTGGAGGTCGATGTACCATTGCCACCTCTCTGGCAATTTCCGTATTGCCTCACGAAACCATTGTCTGGGGGTGTCTCATACACACTCCCTGACAGCATCATGTAAGGCGTCACTATCGGGGAATCGGTGACCACGCAGGGGATTCTTCATCTCACGGAAGAGGGCACAGTCACTTGGTGCCAGGTCGGAGGAATAGGGCGGGTGTGGGTGCATGGTGAACCCTAGTGACTGTACATGCAACTGTGTTCAATTGGGTGACAGGATTCGCATGTGACAACGAAACAGTGAAAAAGAGATCCAGCAGTGGTCATCCCAGAACATCAAGAACTCCGCAAATGATCAAAGAGTGTTGGAACTGATCCCCTGTGTGGTCACCGATTCCCCGATAGTGACGCCTTACATGATGCTGTCAGGGAGTGGGTATGAGACACCCCCAAACAATGGCTTTGTGAGGCAATACGGAAATTGCCAGAGAAGATGGCAATGGTGCATCAACCTCCAGGGAGAATATGCAGAACGGGCTGAAGTGTAACCTGGGAGCCACCACCATCAAGGATCACACAATTCAGGTTAGTCTAAATCATTTGTATGTGCCCCTCGTATAATGGTAAATATTCTACATTCCCAGTTTCTACAAACATCTGACATATTCTCCAGTTTTCAGTAATGAGGTCTTTGTGCCATCCCAATTCAGAATTAATTTTGAAACTATGAATCCTTAGACATTTGATAGGCCTCCACCTGCATGGGGCAACAGGGCACAAAAATTACAAACATACAACCGTGCTTCAAGTGGGATTTGAACCTGAAATTCAGTGTTTCAGTGGTCCATAATCATATGCATCCTAGACCGTATAGCCATTTCCACCAGCACACATATGATTTAGAATTATAAATTTTCTACTTTGTTACATGGAAAGATGTGTAAGAATGTAAACACTGATAGGTATCATATAAAAATAAAATCACTAAAGTTATTCTTGTGTCGAAGCAAAGTAACACGAGAATGGATATAGTGATAAAGCACACATTCTGAAATTTACAGCTGTATAGAGGTGAAAAGTTAGCTTCATATTCCAGCTGCTGTGCTCTAAATACACATTGGATAAGAAAAAGAGTAAGCTGCTTTATTATTCTGGAAGTAGAAGTGAAGAGAAAAATTCCTGCCACTTCCTATTTCTCTATCCAATTGTCAGCAATTTTACTAAGACGTATTGGTTTAAAAGTATCTGATTCTCAAATACAGAATTTCACAACTTAGATATCATTACCAAGACTGCCATTCCATTCAAATCGGAGCCACAACTGGCTGCAGTAGCTGATGTGTTTGGTACTTTATCAGTTGATGTTTCTGCAATGTGGATGAAATCTGCAGAAATATCAAGAGCCCTGCTGGCCACCTGCAAGAAAATATCAGCATGAGACATTTCACAGTCAGAACATACATATCTGAGTATTAATAATCAATACTTAGTGAATAGATATTAACTAATGTAGCAGTCCATCTTGAAGAGTTTATGGTTGTCTAGTTAAGAAATTTCCTGCCCTTTAGGGGCTTCAAAGGACCATTACTATGTTCACAAGAGCCCATCACTGGTCTCTATTCTGAGCCAAATTAATCCACTTTATGACCTTACACTCTATTTCATTCAGACACATATTACTGAGGTACTTTAAAACAGCTTTGCAATTATTCCCAATCTGAGCAGTTTTTGAGTTGGGATACCTAACTTGATAAACTGACTTTTTATTGGTTGGATATTTAGTAATAGACTCCCAGCAGAGGCAGGGTTTTTATTTTTTCAGCCATGTTCAGATCAGTTACCAGTATCAACTAGCCTCCTATCTGTTGACTACTGAGTATCTTAACCCAAGCCAGAATGTGAAGCTGACTATTCACCTTCACCAAGGTCTCAAGTTAAAAATGCATCAAGCTAGACATCTACAACCTCACTACACATTTGAGTTGTGATATTTATGTGCATAGAAACTTAATCTTCCATTTTTTCTCCATTGTCATGTCTTAGGTCTCTTGGTCTGTTCTAGCTTCAGATACTTACTGACAAATCTACAACCCAAGAGGTCTTCTTAAACCCCTTAATCCTTTGGATTTGGGTTTTAATATTTGCTTCATGCACATTTCATATTCTATTCAATGAATCTGATATATTTCATCCTCTTTCCATTCCAAATATTTGTATTATTCTCTTATATATTTTTCCTTCTTTCTTGGCTCTACAACCCAGTGTGGGTCTTCGCCACCTCCTTTCGGAGGTTTCTTGGTCTTTGACGTGTACATTTCAGAGTAGTGAGTGACCAGCCCACTGCTTCTGCACAATTTCAAATCAATCCTGACTTTTGTCTGCTAGAGCCATTTAGTAGAGAATCAAGAGAGACTTGGGTGAGAAATGGCAGCTTACGAAACATTTCATTCATACTCGTAAGGTTCATTTACATGCTGTAAACCTACAATATGGAACTGCCAGATTTCCTTCCCCTCCGAAGGAAATTGTTCTACAGATTTGTATCACTACTAATTCTGAAGGGTTCTGATGATGTGTAATACAGTCAGGATTGTTAGGTGTTTGGACCTTATCTGTCATCTATGTTATAAATTACACGTTTCAAGGACTGGATCTGTCATCATCTTCAAGTGTGCTAGAGGGGACACCTACTTTGTAGGATCTGTTAGAATGAGCTAATCTCAATCCAGTGATTGTGATAAGCTCATTCCATTATACAAAGACAAATCCAGTCCTTGAAATGTTGTGTATTTTATAACATCAGATGTAGGACAAAGCCCAAAAACCTAACAGTCTGGATTAATGTTGTTCATTGAGTATTTTAATTTCTTACTACAAATGTAGTAGTCTAGTACTGACTTGTATCATTTTTGTATGCAGTCCCTGCCCCATTTCTGTGCCTCCATGGCTAACAAGCACAGAACCATCATCATATATGAGCACCAGTGCTCCGGACTGGTTCAGGAATAGCAGTGTGTAAGATATGCCAAATTTTGTTGGAACTACACTCATTCCTCGTTTCTTCCATCGGTTCTGCCTGTAATATTGAAAGAAAAATATACAATTTAAAGTTTCATTCCTTGAAGCAAAGTCGATTACATTAAGTCTTCATGTTTTGAATAAATGAATCAAAGGTTATTTGACAATACTGTATCAATTGCAGACATTATACAAAATTAAATGAGATGGAAATATGCTCATGAATGATATAATTTCACAAAAGTTTGTGATGGCCTGCTCCAAGGTATCATTCTAGCATCTATGTTGAGAGACTCGGGAAAATCACGATGATGTAGGCTAAACAGATGGTAAACAAGTTGAGATTTTAACCATGCATCTTCAAAATAAGAGTCTAGGATGTTATTGCTACACCAACTTTCCAGTTACATTACTCAACTTATTTACATTTAAAAACACATTCAGGTCTGTATATCCAGTAATTAACCATATGATACAACTGAGATCAAGAGCACTTAAAATTTTCATGAAAGAACATTAATGGATTCTTACGTGCACACAGCTGGACATGGCAAATATTAATATTTGTTCATACATGTTTGTAAAAGACAGCAAGGTAATGCCATTCATGGAATATATTATTCAGATTCATTTCTACTACTTATGTTTAAAAAGTTCCACTGAGTAAATATTTAAGTATATGAGGGTAAAAATACATCTTTGGGTCAAATGATAACTGCATGAAAGAAAACCAAATTTTCCCTTTTAGGCTTTAATAGAGGTCCTTAATACTAAAATGTAAGCCACTTATCTGTTCATGAAACGCCCAACACATGCAGTCACTTAAACTGATGGACATGGTAAGAGTAATAGATATGTTTTTCTTCTGCATAGTACATGTATACCTGTTAAATTCATCAACCTTCATCTTCCTACTGTTATAGTCTGCTCTCTCCAGACATTCATCCCAACATCTCCGCACAGTGCAGTGCTCCAGGGGCTGATTGTAATGAGTTGTGTCACCTTCTTTGTATAGATTCATTGAAGAAATCTGAAAGTTGCATGGAAATAACACTTTTTCAAACCGATATACTGTAATTTTGTTTCATTAATTTAAAACAACAGTACAAAGATGCATTGATAATGAATACAAGTACCATATTTATCAGACTATAAGATCTAGCCAACTATAATATCAGGCTATTTTGCTTCTACTTTCATAAAAAAATATGGTCTTGTACTATATTTACAAATAAATAAAAGTGCATACATTGTAATACATGTGGAAACTGGTATATATCAAAATATACATATCTGTTGGGCATTATGTCACTGGGAATATTTACAAAGCAGTACTTCAGATTGTTGTTACCATTACTGTCACACTTGATATTTGAAGGTTTCTGAAAATGGTGCATTATAATTAAAATTATGTTTTTAGACTATGACCATCACCTAAATACAAAATTATAAGACCAAGACATTTTGGAAGCTTGATTCTGCTTATGCTTCTCTCTGTTCTAACAATACTGAGTGACCTGTACAAATAATAAAGTTCCCCATTGTATAATATCCTAAATTGGTCACTTATGCCATCTTTCTAAATTCAGATATTTACCTGGGCACATACTTGTAATTTATGTTCTGCCTTCAAAGTAAGAGAATGTGTTTCGCACCCACACAAACAATTGGTGAAATTATTCTCTGTATATGCTGATCTTAACCATCTTGGAAAGAAGATTGTATGGTAACAGTTTTTAAACAAAGTAATAAGAAGCATTTCCTCAATTTATTCTTCTCCTACTTTCATCATAACTTTCATCTCTGTTTGTTAATATTGTTCTTATATATATTTGTGTATTTTTTACTAGCCACAGACCAATTTCTTTCACTGGTCTGTAAGCGAATTTATGCATTGTTCTGGATAGCAGTTATATTTTACCCCACCAAATTAACATCATCAGGATAAACATGTACTTGTCTGACCAAGTTATTATCATAAACTTAAAAAAATGAATTTAGCAGAGATATATGGTCCTTACTTCAAGTGGATCCTTTTCCAAATATGATGCAATGTGTCTTATCATATTTTCTGCAAAAAACATTCCTTGTGGTCCTCCAAATCCCCTGAATGCAGTGTTAGAAGGCAGATTGGTCTTGCAGATATAACCTCTAACTCTAGCATTTGGAATATAATATGCATTTTCAAAATGGAACATGGCTCTCTCTATAACCTGTAAGGAAAGTAAACAAAATAAACACAATTTTCCTAATTTAAAAATATTAGGATATAATTAAATTAATGATTTAACTTACAGGGCCAGACAAGTCCAAAGTATGACCAGCATTATTGTATAATTTAATGTCGCAAGCTGTAATCTTCCCCTTCTTTGTAAATCCAATTTTGTATTTTCCAAGAAATGGATGACGTGTTCCTGATATCATCATATCTTCATCTCTGTCTAGCATGCAACGAACAGGCCGATTTAACCTAAAACATGCAAATTTTATATGAATGTAAAGTTCTCACATAGGTCCATATTCACTGTAATGTTGGTTAATTATAGCATCCTCTGAAATAGAAAAAACCATCAACATTTCAGAGCATCTCATTATGCCCTCCTTCAGGGCCAAAGTGATGGAAAAGTAATGTCAAGTGATTTGTGTAGGAATATACGTAACAGGCATGAATTTTGGTCAGAAACTGTGACTGGTCAGAACGGTATAAACATGTCTGTGGTGAACCACCATTCAAGTTCACTACCTACTACAGTTGTCTTTACACAGTCCTAACCAATCACATTACATGACTGTGGCTGCATAACAATTACAATTATAAACCCTACATTACTACTTTTGTGCAGCCACTTAGAACCTGCAGAAGAAGCAGAGAAGTTTGTCCAAAACATCAGTAATTTATACACTTCAACATACATTTAAAGTTGATACCACTAATGAAAGGAAGATATCAGCTATGCTGCCCAAGCAACAACTACTAGGCAGTTTAAGAGATTAGTAACTCAAAAACAGCTAGTAATCAACCCTAATCCTGAGCAACATGAATTCAGTCCACACCCTCCCACCTCATTTCTTTAAGATTTACTTTAATGTTACTCACTCATTCATACTTAAGTCTTCAAAACAGTCTTTTCCCTTCAGGTTTTTAAGCCAGAATGCTGTATTCATATTTCCATGCATGCTATATATACCGCTTCTTCTGTCCTTTTGACTTGACCATCCTAATTGTATCTTGTGAAGACTAAAACTTATGAAGCTCCTCATATGGTATTTTCTCAAACTTCTTGTTACTTCCTCTATCTTATGACCAAATATTCTCTTAAGCACCCTGTTCTAAGTCACCCTCCATCTGTGTTCTTTCCTTAAACTTTGTCAGCTGTGTGTCACAGCTTATGCATGCATCTCAGTAGGATATTGCTAAACCCCTGAGTTAAAGTCTGGCTGCAGAGATCTTAACCCCCTATTCCCATGTCATAAAGGTCAATGTGAGAGACAGTTTGACATTCATACAAAATAAAAGTAAAATTATGTCAGCATACACATACAAAAAACAAAGCATTGTATGTAATTCTCATTTCTGTGTTCTTATAAGTTTCATAATCCATATATCCACACATCAGATGAGAACTTACTTGTATGCGGCCACTGCTACAGGGACAGAAACGACCAGCATCCGAGTCTCCTTTCCACCAAAACCCCCACCCATTCGCTTCACTCGGCAAACCACTCGGTTGCTCTTAATACCAAGAACTTCTGCTGTCACTTTCTGAAACAGAGATGTATGGCTTAATGAGTTTCTTTAGTAACTGACTGCAATATAACTAAAAATTCCCTGTTCTGTATATATTACAAAAGTTCATCAATCTGTTCTCAAAAGGCTGTCTATTGCACCCTAACCTAAGACAGTTCATTTTAGTTTACATCTTCACATCCTTTTGTTCTAGATCCATTTTGTACTATCCTCCCATTTCCATTTACTAAATCCAAAAGAGCTACACATCCAGCTACATGAATTCTCCTTCAACGTTTATAATGCAAAATGTTATTAACTGTAGAACATTATTTTTTGTTTTTTGATATTGTTTCTTACACACCCACAGTTTCTTAACATTTTTAATGGCAAATACCATCATTACAATACTATATAAAAAGCAAAAATAGAAATGAATAATTTAAACCTGTGTCTCTGTTGGATTCTGTGTAGAACAAAACAGCTCTATTTCATCATCTTCACCCTTTGGAACTGCGATTGTGCAATGCGTTTCTAAGTAGAAGTGCTCTTGTCCAGCCATCCGAGCTTCTCCTTCTATAATGTGGTCAGAATTCCTAAAAGCTGCATCCACATCTCCTCGACATATTTCTTTGGGACAGCCAGGGAAGAAAGATTCATTCTTAATTGCATCCTGAAAATAATACAATCATTTTAGGTTGTGACAACATGCAGTCATGCAGGTAGTTACCAACATTTGAGAGGAACATGTCATCACCTTTAAAAAAAGGAAATTATTATTTTTTATATTTTTACCTCAAAATTGCATTATTTCATGAAAGTGGTAAAAAAATAATGTGCAATGAAAGGGTTAAAACAGGAGAATTTTATTGTAAAGTTCACTTTGTGGGGATCAAATATAATAACAACATGGTGAAAAATAAATGTACTAGTAATGGTAAGAGAAATAGCCTATGACAGCTTTGTTAAAATTTTTATCGATCATTTTGCTATATGTCCAGTAGTGTTTAAGAGAATGTTACCTTGTGAAACACCTACATTTCTGCAGATGAACTTCCTTTCCTAGCTGTGATAATATTAGGAAACATTCAGCAACTTTTGTGTCCTTTAAATTTCCTTTGCTGTTGTTCCTGTTTAAACTACTTACTAATTATTTTTGTCTGTCATGATATGCAACATATCAGCTTTTATCAGTACCATAAGCTACTAATGTATTTTAAGAAACAAATTAACTACGATGAGCCTATTTAAAGATTGATATTAATCTTTATTATCCATGTGAAGCAAGTAATGCATTATTCAGCTTGCCACAAGTTGCACTAGCTTACTGCCAAACAGTTAAACGAGGAGTTAAAATCTGGCTAGCAGCCCAGTAGTATGGAGATTTTTAAATCCCCTACACTCATGTGATAGAAGTTTTCTTCAGAATATTTCTGCACCTTGTGTAGTGAAGAAAGTAATAATAATAATAATAATAATGATAACAAAGGATGTCTCATCAGTATATATAAATGAAGAAGAAATACTGTTCACCCTCTTTACCTCAATAGTAATTATCACAGGTTTCAGGTCCTTGTATTCCACTCGAACAAGTTTAGCTGCACGCTGAGCTATTATCTGGTCAACAGCTACCACTGCTCCAATAACTTGTCCCTGAGTTGTTACCTAAAAATGTTATAACTTATAATTAATTCCTCATTAAAGCATATGTGTAAATAAAATCAGCTCCAGCAATAATCTCAACTAATGATTTCCAAACAAAAATGTTTTTTTAATCGCATTCGCATACAAACACATTTATGGTGGGAGCATTCAGAAATAACTTTTCCATGACTGCATTCATGTGTAAAATATTTGTTATGGTCACATTCATGCACAAATATTTTTAGCTGCCACATTTATAAACAAAACAGTGTTCACTGATGCATTCAATTGTAAATAACATATTAATGTGGATATGATGTGAATTAAAATGTTAAAAATTATACAACCATTGTAATGAACCATGTGATCACAATCTGTCTTTTTTCTGAAAATTCTGAAAAAGAAATATATTTCAGGCCAGACATTATGATTGGAAATTGGGCCAAATACCCATGTAAATATGAACCATTAACATTAACAATACAAAACAATAGAAAATAATGAAGAAGAATCACACATATCAGTCTTGTTCTGCAACTTCTCTGCTACATACATTTTAAAAAATAAAATTAAATTTTTCCAATATGTGTACATCTGGTTAGAGCACAGATAACCTAGACAGTAGATTTCAACTTACTGTACCAACATTAATCCAATTTTCTATATTTGTGGAACTTAATTTATAGTGTTTCTTTTATATAGTACATATATTAACAAGTCTCTGAAATATCTGAAACACATGAATTAACCCTACCGAGCAGATTGGTGCATCAATAATGTTCCAGAATTTTGTTCCTTGACATGGTGCTAAATCCAGATTTTAACACAGGAAAACTACAAACAACTCAATCATCAACTTACTTTTCCTGCTGCAAAAACTTCATCATCATGAATGATCCCATGGCAATTTCGAAATTGTGGCTCTTGTAGATCCTTGGCTGAGAAGAATGCATGGACTCCCTCTAAGGATAGTGCTTTGCTTGCATCGATAGACACAATTTCAGCATGTGCTCGAGAACTCAACACCAGAGCCAGGTAAAGCTCATTCTCAAAGTATGGCATGTCATCACAATATACAGCTTCCCCTAAATCAGGGAAATTAAACATGATTTGTCTACATTTTATATTTTGCAAAATCACTGAAAAAAGGTTACTGAGGATGTACACAAAAACATACAAGGAAACTGATATTTTGGTTCACATCAGTTAAATATAACCCCTGTTTTAAACAAAGCTCAACTTGAACTAAATTTTCTTAAAAACAGATCAGCGTCCAAAAAACTGAAACATAACATAAAATATGGATCTCATACAAAATGTGTACTTTTATGTAATGTGTATGTGATAAAAGAAAACAAAAATTAATTAAAATTCCATGTAAAGTGTAAATGAATTTGTGCAAGAGATTTTCAACTGCATGACATGAATATGAAGAACAATGAAGAATGAAAAGAACGCATTTGTAGAGTGTGTATTTAAGTTAAAAGATAACTTTTCCATGCTTGTTTGGAAAGAAACAGTATCTAAAAGTGATGGTGTAAGTGGGATTTATTCATTTTCATATATTTGAAAATTACCTGTAGCTTGTTTGAAAGCTGATTTATGTACAGTTGGCCTTCCAACAAGATCTGTATCCTTTTGATCTGCTGGTACCTGAAACATTCCAGTATAAAAACAAGGCTTGAGTAAACCAGCAAAACAGAAAATGGATTCCACAAGGGAAGGATAGAATTTTAGACACTAAACTGATTCATTGCAGGTTGATAACAAAATGGACATATGCAGAGGCAGAAAAGAAAGGGTGGTATAATCTCTGCTCTGGCTGAATGAATTTTCATAAAATTAACACCAGTGTTCCTTAAAAACTTCAGTGATCTATTTCATACAACTCCAGTGTAAGTTAGACTGGGACTCTGCTCTGCATAAGAAGCAAAGTCAATCTTGGAAAATGTTTCAGATTCTACACACAGGTTTTGATGAAATTTAATACTGTAAATACATTACTTAAAGACCAAGTTAATTTTTAAAAATACTTCATTCACCAGATCAAAAGAGTTACAAATTTATGAAACTCAATTACATTAACATTTTTACTACAGGCAGTTCCTTAAAATTAAGCAAAAAATAGTTGTAAAGCAGTCAGGGCATGAAGCTTACCACTCAACCCCTCCTAGTGTTGAGGTTAAGAATGCTTGGAGCTATACTTCCACTCCCCCATTACATCTGCATGGCATAGTGTTTAGTTAAGCACTAGAGACAAACTTATCCCTACCTTTCACTTTTTATCTTGGTATCTGCCTGAGGATCACCTGATTCAGATGGATGAATTCCAAAGCTGGTATTCAAAGGAAGTGTTGGAGGAAGAAGACCAGTTGGAAGACCCAGGAACAGATGGGAGGATGCAGTTCAAACGGATGCCACACTGCTCCTGAGGATTAGAAATTGGAAGAAGGCAGCGAAGGATAGGACAGAATGGAAGAGGAGAATTGAGGAGGCCATGTACCCGAATACGGAAAGAAGAAGAAGATGATGATGATGATGATTTGACTGAGGAAAAGCATGAAAACCTAATTAAGAACAATTTGTATCTGTCTGAAATTCAAACCAGGTACCTACAAACACATCTGCAGAATAACTGCTACAAATCTTGCCCAGTTAATAAGATGTGCTCTTTCTAAAGAAATAAATGCACATCCATTTTTAGACATGTAGATGTGAATATGTGGAAAGTCAAAGTTCAAACACACATTTAATACTAAGTTCAAGATTTTCATTAATTTTATACATCACAACTTAATGCAACCTAATTTACCACTTGAAAATACTGAGAGCTCTTTGGTGTCTTGCTGTGGAAGCCACTGGATCCACTCTGGTATTTGTCTGGCAATTTCTGTACCTCAGGAACCTTATTCTGATCCAAATTGTTCATGATAGCAAGGTATGCTTTGAAAAACAGGCTGAAACAATCAGCGTGTGAGCATTCCATATTAGTTACAACAAATTATCAGCTCTTATCATATTAATCATTCATCAACATTCTCCAATAATGAACTAAGTCTGACAGTATAAGTTAAATGTAACATCCATCCATCCATCACCTTATTATTCTACGAGGCAAGACACTTTCCAATAAATTTCTGTATGTATCTGCTCTCTCTCTCTCTCTTGCATGCACGCACGTGCACACACACACACTCAAACACGGCTGAGTATTCTGGGAAGCAAACAGGATAATAATTGCTGAACAGGATAACAGTTACTTATTACAACATCAATATTTTATATTATTGTTGCTCTGAGATATTTATATATCTAAACATTTCCATATCAAATATTATATATAGTTATATTATGACTTTTTACATATTGTTTTGTGACATTCCTACTACTTAGATAAACCTCAGTAATAAATTAAAAAGTCAGTAAAATTCTAGAAACCGTTACTAATATCCCACCATGTAAGTCTATCTATTGACTTGACAACATCAAAACTAAAGTAACTGAAAAAACCTAGTCCGGACTTAATAAAACTGATGCACATACATCAAACTGAACCTAAAGAAATGTGATCTTAATTAAAAGTACCCGAGAAAACAGTAACTTACATCATATGTCAAAATTACTTAATACTGTTGTAGTGTGTGCATCTCAACTGGCATCCAAGGAATGATTGCATCAGGGTGGGAATCAGTAACTAATTCTAAAAGACTACCCTATGGTTAACATTTATTATACAGGAATAGACAATATAAACCACAGAACTACAGGATTGCTGGCTAAACTTCAACCCTCCTGGAATAATGATTTAATAGTACACTACTATGATGCATGTACAGCGGGACCATATATAAGCTATTATATATGGCTGATAAAGGTTAACATACTGTAGTGAGATTTATTTTGTAGAAAATTTAAAAAATACCTCAATGTGAGAGATCTGCGATACTGAATCATGCCACCAGGAGCACCTGGGTTTAGTGGCAAATCTTCAATTAAACCTGAATATGCTTCTTCAAGTGTCTCTTCATTCCACTGCCTGGAAAAAAGCATTTACAAAGTCTACAATTAGACTATATATAATAAGATTGTCACAAAATTAAAATAGATAACTAATTAAACCAACACCAATTACAACTTTCAGGTAACATATCTCAAGATTTCAACACTGCCAGTACCAAAGCATATCACTGGATAACAGGCAAAATATTTGTTGAGAACTCAGAGAACAGCAATCCACACTGAAGGGTTAATCACAATACTTCTTGTGCATTCATCAGGTATCAGTAAATTAATTAAATATGGACTTACCTTCCAACAAGCTTGCTTTTGGTTTTCATTGCCAGGGCAGTGGTAGGTGCCATTCCACCAAATGCAAGGCTGATGTCCTTAATGGTGTTTGTCCCTGGATTAAATTCCACATTGGCAGCCATATTAACAATAGCAATATCATCATCTCGTCTTTTAGCTTGTTTGTATGCATAAAAGTACTGCTCCTGCAAGTACAGACATAGTAATGGAATTAGTACAGAGCAATCTGTAAAATATCAAATATTATAACAATTCTCTGAGTTTGTTTCCAAACAAATTAACACCATAAAAGACACACATTCTGATCAATTTTAATTCCTCCATGACACACATCACCACGTGGATACTTATACTAATGGTGAAGCACCTTCATGCATACAGATATACTATTCCCAGAGTTACAACCATTACATCTGATTAATTAGCTTTTATGGTCAGCTGCTTGTGTTGCAGTAGAATATCACTGTGCTACTAACCCTAGAGTTACAGTCTGGTTGACAGCCCTATAGTACAGAGTGGTTTAAATCTTCTATTCCCATAAATTATAGGTTAGAATGTTAAAATATGTGCCAATGTCTATAACAAAATAATGTATTCATGCACTGTTTCATTGTCTGCTGCTAGATATATGTTCAGTCTGCACCTCAAAAGCCTTAAGATAGACTTTTATGTCTGAAAAATGTTTCTCCAGTATCCAGCGATACATAATGAAAAAATAAGTGCACTATTTTCCTGCATACATGTATCCTGTTAATGTAAAGACTACAAAATAGTAAGCTTACAATGACTACTTCACAACATGATGCTCCAGTACAATGTTGTGCAGTGTACCTTTAGAAGAAAGATAAAACATATACAACAAATGAGCTTAATTATTTCATCATTCTTTTTAAATAAAAGTTTTAAAGTATGGAAATATGACATTGGTCATTCATTGTCTATTGTCTGAGGTACAGCTGATAAAAAAGTGTCAGTATAACAACAATCAATCAAAAAATGTTGTGTGTGTCCCCAGACAATGGACAATGTCCAACATACTGTTCCCACAGTGAATCAAACATTGCCACAAATGTTTATTGAATGAAAAGTTTTAAAGTGATAAAAATTTTGAAACCACAAGTTTAAAATTTCACCACACAAATTCATCTAATAGAACATTTTAAGCTTACCTTCTCAGTGTATGGAATGATAATTGAAACCAAAACTTCAACAGGTTTCACAACTGTTCTCCTATAGCCAGTGAAAAATGTTTCATCCATTTTAACATATCTTATGCCATTCTCTGAAAAAAAAAAAATCCAAAATGTTTACCCTAAAAGTCGTACATTTTGAAGAAAACTGATCTTAAGGAATGATCAAGTCATAATCCAGGCTACAATTGTCATAAAATTATAAAAACATGCCAAGACACAAATTATCATGATTTTCTAATTTTTCTGCTTCCCAGTAATCTTTATAGAACTTTGGAGTTGTCAGAAGCTAACAGTTCTTCGCAAGCCGATATACATAATTTTGACCTCTTGTAACATGCTATATATAACTTTTGTTCTATCAACCTTTCTTCTAAGTCACAGGGTCTCCCCACTGGATAACACCCTACTCCTCTGTTTGCACAAACATGTACCTCACCAACCACTACACACATTCACCCAGTGTCTTCTAAAACACCTTCAACACATGAATCAGCTAACCTCAAAAGCAGAATTCATACATTTTTAACTACTGTTCCAAATACTACCTTTGCTATGTAACTCCAGGTGGCATCCTGCAGCACAGAAGATTGGGTTGAGGTCAGAAATTGGACTTGATGTCATAATGTTTCCACCTACAGCCTGTAAGACAAATCATTATGTCATAAGTCTTTCAATTGGTTCTTTGATTACTTATGCATCTTCAACTGAAATGGTTATATAGCATCAAATGATAGGATGGCTGGAAATGATGAATTGGAAGGGATATAGAACAAAGCACAAGAAGCTTACCCCAACATTCCTTATCTGTTTTCCAGCAAACCAGTACAGCATGTTGACAATGGCCAAAAAAATTCTAGTCTTGTGTTCTGAAAAGCAAGATGTTCAACGAGTTACTATAAATTATTATTTATAAATATTCGGCAATTTGATGCCTTATAAAACAATAAATTAAAAACATTTTGCTTATAAATAACAAAACAACTATCACTTGTTTTAACAAAAAGGAAAGATGTGCACTCACCAATTGTGCATCTGTGTACTGTACTCTAACCTCACTTAAATAAATTTCTTTATATCAGTTCAACAAATCCATCATTTATGTAATCAACTTTCTCATAAGTTCTTTAACATTTCATGATTATGGGAAGTAGCTGGTTCTGGCTCAAGATTATGTGTAGTGGTAGGTTTTGGTGGGGAGGCCAAGGCCCAACAAATGGGCTGTAGTGCCACAGAGCAGTACTAGGTAGATTTTGATATTTGCAGTAAGTCAAACAAGCATCCTTACCTAGATGTATTATAATTAAATTAAGAGCAGTGTGGTATATAATATTACAAAGAACTCAATAATAATATGTACTCCCTTTGGATAACGTTTTATAATCTTATCAACACTTGGAACCATAAAATAATTGAGTGCTTATGACAGAAGTTCACAAACGTTCATGTATGCTATTGCTATATTTGGTTTTCTTTTATTTTGACAGCAAACCACATTTATCACATTAAGAATGTAAGAACTTCTGTTTAATAAAATTCCTCCATATATACAATTTTATAAAAAAATATATAACAAATATTACAATTTCCAGCTTTAGTCTGACACATTCTTTTGATTTTGTTAACACTGAATAATGTTAATTAACAGCCATCTTATTGACATTTCATTCTTCTGATTGTGGGATAAAAATCTCTTCATGTTAACCATTGGATAAGTGTCATGCTTCATTAAAATTTTATTGCAATAAATCTTCATAAAAATTGAATATATTAAAAAGTATTTAAATACAAGATCTGATGGGTCTTTGTAATGAAAATTTAATTGTAATGTAATTGTATTCACAGATTTGTACAAACACATAAAGAGTGCTTGCAAGTTAACTTTAACATGTTTTTACCTGGTTGTAACTCTATTTCATTCCTTAAAGCCTGTTCCATGTTATTCAATGTGACTGCAGCGCCAATCCTAAGCCCAGTACTGTTCATAGAAACAGATATTAGTTCTGGAATTTGGTTTGGCTGGATGAGAACTGGGTACACCATATTTTTAAATTTCACTTCTACACCTGCAAGGAAAATAATCTTTATCATCGCCATTAACATTTCCACTGGATTGAATTATCTGACTCCCTAATTATTCTCTGTTCTCCTCTTCTATATATTACCATTCTTTTCGCACTGTCTTGTTTATAATTCCTCTCATTTGGTCTCACAACACAGTCCTTGGTTTCCCCAATGGTACAGTAAAACCCTGTTAGAGTGCCACACTGTGTCCATCATCATATTAGCATTAAAGTAGGGGTGGTGGAATACTAAAATTGTTCTTTATTTTATTTAGAATATTTCCAACACATCAATGACTGATGTATTTACCCCATAAAAGGGAGAAACAGTTGGTAATATTTTGCTGGCTTGCATCAAGATATTATTCTTTCTTGGCATCGTCTTTTTCATTTTACCAAAATTTAACAATGGCTTTCTTCCCCATGTCAGACAAATGCAACTGATTGTAATAATATGATATATGCCTGTATCTGTGTAGTACTTAATGCCCTTACTGTGACCATGACTGTAGTGCAAACTAACGTGTCTTTGCATATTGTATGTTAGTCACTCAGTGTGTAGTAAACACTTCCATTACTAAAGAGTCCACTACTCTGTCAGACAGTTGCATGAAAAAAAATTGATCTGTAACTGTTTTATCAGAATTACTGAAATGTTGCCTGTTTCTGTATGCAGCTTACTTTGGATAATATTTCCATTTTCAAGTCAAAGCCCCTCCTGGCAGTCGGATCATTTAGGCTACTGTTATAGTTGGCAAAGTAGTTTTTGGCCAGTGGAATTTTCAAGGGGAAGGCTAGGAGCGAATCACTTGTGTGATAGTATAATGATGAAAGCACCGAGGAGCTTATCGGACTGAACGCCCAAACAAAAGAAATACAATGACCTTGCCACCTCAGGTGCACAGAGTAAGCCCATCTGCCAGCTCCGCAAGCTTCTCCACCAGCCAAAAACTACTGCACCGACTATAACTGCCTGGATTTTGAATTTTGCCATTAGAGAGAGAGAGAGAGAGAGAGAGAGAGAGAGAGAGGCAGGCAGACAGACAGACAGACAGACTCTGAAGGGGTACATGAGTAAGCATGAGCAGAGATGTCAGAAGTGGAGAAAACGTCTTAACCCATTTGAAGGCTAGTTTTATTTTCAAGAGTCTTCATTGCCAGGCCAGGTTTTGCAGCACCTTACAAAATGAATAATGCCTATCCTAAGTTTAGGTATACAATGAAGTGTTTGTCTTGATTTAATTCAAAATTTCCACAGTGAAGTAGAAATCAAGCTTCACATGACATTGTACAAACAGAACGTTGCAATGTATAAAGTGAAGCTTTCGTGGCAACTGAAGTTGATGGTTTATTCACCTTTCAGCCACCTGATGCAGCTTGTAGGCTGAGAGTCTTTCAGAACTTAGAAATATCTACTGAAGAACTTTATGCATCATTAAAAGATGCAGCTAAAAGGATGGAGAAGATGACTGTTACCATAAAATGTGTGTTAATTATTTTAAAATCTGATTAGTAAGTATTTGAAACTTGATCTGGAACTATACATCAGTTGAGATGTAAATTATGTCATAACATCAAGAGAGAAGTACTGAAATGTAAGTGAGTATAACAGAATATTCCTGATTATCAAAACACATAAAGGGAACTTACCAACTTCAGTATTTCCAACAACTATGCGAGCTTCAGGATATTCTGATTTCAGGAGCAATAGATCATCTAACTTTGTAGGACGATACCATGTTGCTCTCTTCCCCTTAATAATTAAATACTGAGAATCAAAACTTGAATCCATCTGCAAGTCACAATCATATTCAACAAATTAAATGTTATGCACATCTACCTACGTTTGACATCAGTGTAACCAATAGTAACAATTACACTAATTGTTATTAAATGAACCCAAACCACCTTACTATAGTTAATTTCAGTTAATCTTACAACTTACAAGATTTCTAAACAAAAGAGATTTTATGCTGTGACATTTAATAACTGAAGTACCACGTGACTCATTCTGATGATATGTAATACCAGACATTCTTGCTTATCCACCTCACCTGTAAATGCCATTTATAAGTGAGCATAAAATGTTTGCATTCACAAACTGAAAATCTAAAGCTAGTAACAGCATGAGAATACCAGACTTGTTAAGAAATGTAAACATTTTTTACCTTATCTTTATGACTTCTGTTGTTGACTTTTCTAAAAAATATAACAGTATTTGTTACATTCTGTAGGTTTGCTTCTTTTTTTTTGTCAGAAATCTAAATTCTTACTGGTCAAAATTTTTTGATGTGTAACAGAAGTATATCCAAAATAAATTTTGCAAACATTTTGAATCATAATTGCTTTTACGTGACTGCATTAATGTGGTATGAAGATATCAACTGGTAAGTGTAAGTTGCTCATAACCAAACTCAGAAGATCCAAGCTATATTAGGAATCCCCACATAAGAGTAGAAAATTGCAGCAGAACTGAGTCTGGAGGCTGCTTTGATAACAGAAGGGAAAAGTTACCACTCCCCCCTCCCCAATTACTTCAGAGCACAGCACAAACAGAGCATAATGCACATACTCTGAGTTCTGGAGGGAAAATTGGCTCCTGTGTTGGATCATATGGTGTGTATTCTGTTTTACTGAAGAGTACTTCCTCATCCCTAGTGCAGCCACCATTGCTTGTCACTCCATTAAACTTGTTCTTGCAACACTGGTCTCCCATTGCACATCCATTACCATTACTCAACCCATTAATCAGTTTGTTGTTGTACATGGCTTGGTTCTGTTCCCAGTCTTCAGTGAAACTGCTAAATCCTTCAATAATTGGACGATAACCAGTGCACCTACACAGATTGCCTGTAACACAAAAAATATTTGTTTCATTATTTGTATTATCTTGTTACTATTTATTTTTCTTGAAAAATAAATCAGATGTATCTTTAGAAATCTAGTTTATGAGCAATTCCTTGGTTTGCAAATGTATCTGTGTGTTATTTTTACTCAAATCTGGAGTACATATAGTATTGAAATACATTCTTCTTAATTTTGCAACCCTTATTGTTGTTGATGTTCATTTACTGCAGTTATAATAAATAATCAGCAGTACGAATGTAACACTACACAGTCATAATTGTTATTGCTGAAGAAGCTGCGTGTGGATAGAAAGCTCAGCCAGTCGCACTGGCCACACAGATCAAAGTCGTGGAACTTGTGTGCTTGAACACCGGGACCGTGGGTTTGAATACTACTCAAGGCGTGGATGTCTGTCTGCATCTTTCTGTGTTGTGCTGTCCTGCGCGCAGGCAAAGGCCTTGAGACAGGCTGATCACTCATCCATGGAGTTCTACCAATGTCTAATAGAGTAAGTAACCTCCAAAACGAGGATGTGAGAAAAGACCATAAAGGCTGTAAAACACTCGCTATAATAATGACAATAAAAAGCCAAAGCTCATTTCATAATTTTTAATTCAGTCCATACCTCATAGAAAAAAGAAAACTTCACACCTACAGAGATCTAATGCTGTTTAAGGAAATAATCCCTGTTTACACTGAGAATCATATAAAACCCATAAATACAAAATGCACAATTACTGATTGTTAAAGTAGGTGGTACATATAGTCCACACTGGGTTTTAAAGGGAACTGCAAAGGATCAGATTTGTTTTTCAGCAGCCCTGAGGATGAGAGCAGAGATTGTTTTCGAAACACTGGCAGAAGATATGGTTTATTCACCATTCAGCCACCTGACGCGGCTTGTAATCCAAGAGTCTTTCATCAAGAATGGTGGTGTTTTGCATTTTGCTCTACATTGCAAAGAGCAGGAATTTCTCACCATTCACTGACAAAGAGTTGCATCATAGCTCTGGAAGGATTAAAGGGAGATATAAAAGTAAAATAAAATTACCTTGGAAAGCTATTTCCATGTCCTTCATTGTGGGTTTGGGCAAGTTTCTGAGTAGTGTGTACATAGACATAACAATTCCTGGGGTACAGAAACCACACTGTGAGCCATGGGCCTCTGCTATCCTTTTCTGCACAGGATGTGGCTTTGTCTTGGTGCTGCCAATGCCTTCCACAGTTGTGACAGCAAGTCCATGCATGGAGGCCACAGGCGCCAAACACGCATTGACTGCTAGGTGACTTTTTGTTAAGGTGATAATAAATAAACGGCTCTTGTGCAGAAGATGTTGCATTACAGTACACGAGCAAACAACACAAGAAAACAATGGATGAAATACGAACAAAAAACAGGCAAAAAATAACTTTAATATAAATTAACAAAGAAATTAAACTATGTAGTAAATGGAACTAGTAACACGGTAACAAGCAAAATTATATAAACTAAAGTAACTGACTCATAGAGCAGAGTTTTTCTTCAGAATTAAAGTTTCTCAGCTAATCAAGAAATTCTCATATTTTATGAAACCCAAAGATTCATTACTGCATTTATAGAGCCTGCTACTAGTCCTCATCCTGTGAAATAGAGTAACTAAAAAACTAAGAAAGAAAACAACTAAGTAAATACCTAAAAATTAATATGAATTGCTGAATGGAATAAGGACCCATACTAACTGGAAATAAATATTAGTAAATTAAGATTTTATAAGATTTTATTTTCCAGAAACAGTATATATATTTTTTATCTCTGAATTTAAAAGCATAGTCATCTGGCATACACATTAATGAATTTAGAAGATTTTGCGTTGCCAACAACAAAGGTCCCAGACTAATTGTGTTATTGACAATAAGGTAGCAGAAAACAGAGCTTCAACAATTTGATACAGAAATCATTGCCACTGGACATGATCATCCAGTTCCAACCACCTCACATGACAGAATGATAGAAATATTAAAAAACAATCATTATCAAGAATTTTTAGAATCTATTCCTGTTCTATTTTCATCATGACACTCTATTTCATTTATTGTTATTGTTCCCTGATACTTAAATTTTAAACATCCTCACTTGATATTTTTACACATGATTTATTAAATATTATTCCTTTTATGATTTTGTTGCTGATTTTGGTGTCATGCTATTATGACAAATCCAAATGTATCTCCATTTACTTCCAGACCAGTTTCATTACTGATCTGAAGATGCAGGTGATACAGTCCTCCAAAAAATTGGTAAGCTATACAACTATATGGGGTCACAACTAGAAGGCCATAATCCACATTTTCACTACCACGAAAACCTCAACTCTCATAAAACCCATGTGATTTATGTACATAAAAATTGAATGGTAAACAACATTTAGGCCATCTTATCAGTTGAAATTCATCAAATGTCAACAAGGCCAGAAAACAACAGGACCTGACACACAGATAACTGGCTGCTTACAGCTGTAGATAAACTTCTGAGAAGGAAAGAGAGAAAACAGTTTAATAAACAGCTGGTTTAAAATTTAAATGTTTCGGCCTTAATGGTAATAAGAGTGGTAGATGATGCAAATGATAATCTGCAAAGCATAGCACTATTGCAGGCAGATGATGAAAGCTAACACATTACATGCAGGTACACAGATATGGGGCATGTATTTGTTGAAGAAGAAAAAATAATTATACTGCATGACTATTAAACAATAAATATTTCTGAATAAGATAAAAAGTAAATGTCTCTTTAAATCTCTTACAATAGGACACAAATTCTCTGAAAGGATACATAACTTTTTCTTTGACACGATCGTACCTGGAGACCATAACAGTGCAGGCTCCGCAGCCTCCTTCGCCACAGCCGAGCTTTGTGCCACACAGACGCACTGAATTCAGCTAAGGAAACACCTTACAACACAATTCTTAACTTTAATACGTGAACTGACTTACAAGTTGTGCCAAGTTAAGAAGACTGTCCAGCGTTATGAAAACTATGTATTTCAGTAAACAATGCTGTAATATTTGGGTTACAATTCAGAATTCTGATGATAAGGATGGAGATCATTCCCAAAAAAATGGTCTCTTCATGTAACAAGCTGATGTGGCCGATTGCCTGAGCAGATTTTATCAAGTTTAGTCACTACAAAAGCTTCAAATCATATATATATGACAATGCCTTCATTCTTGCCCATTTCTGTATGAGTAAAAATAATGTTAGACAATAAATACTTCTTCTGCAAAAGTAGAACTCACTACAATACAACCACACACAACAGCTACAATGACACCCTAGCACCACACCTATGTAGGCAATCCACACAACACAATGGTGTCCACCTCCCATTAAAATCCACCGAGCGGCACTGCAAGCTTCTGGAGGGTCTACACTTTATTTGGACTATACTGTGCAGAATCTAGTGTGGTTGTTATTATTAACCTGAAATTTATATATACTCATGTTTCTATTACTGTAAGTGCCAATACTTTTTTTACCTAGCACAGGTTAGAATAATAATTCATTCATACATTCATTCACTCATTCATCCTAAAGGATACGCTTATTTCTTAGATAGTAAAGTAAAGTCCATTCTGGGTCCACGTTGTTATCAACCACCTGCAACAAGAGCGGAAAAGTTCAGTCTGTACTGGAGCAGATGCACAGAATTTCCACATACATTTCTTGAAACGGTTCCATGACAAAACCGCACACGAAAATTGCGCACAGAAAGAAGCTCACTGTCATAAATGCTCACACGAAAATTACTCACACGGAAAAATGCTCACAAGGACAAATGCTCACACGTACGAATGCTCTCATGGACGAATGGCCATATTGACAATACTATAAGTAATCAGAAGCGTTAACGGGTTACCGTAGTAAACCGACGTTTCGGGAACAAACCCTGAAGATGGGGACTTCCTTCTGTGCGCAATTTTCGTGTGCGGTTCTGTCGTGTGCGCATTTGTCTGGTCACCCTTGAAACAAGGCATTCCAGCTGTTCCAAATAGCTATAATAAAGATCTGTCCTGGGTTAGGGCAACAGTATAGCTAGTTTCTGTAGCTCGGAAACTAAGCATGAACAACATCAAAACAATAGTTTCTATTTCGGTGAGAAGATAACACGGACAGAGGCCTCTGAAACCCGACAAAGGCCTCGGTTCATTTCCAGTGAAGATGGTTTCTTCAGCAGAAAACTTTGCAAGACAGAATGACCAAAGTTGCTGGTTTCGGCGGAGGGATTACAGGAACAAAGGTCGAGGCCTGGTGAGTGGTTTTTGTAGCTCGGAAATTAAGCACGATAGAAATATGGCTTAATGACCAAATCTGTTTGTTTTTGGTGAGGTGATTACAGGAAGCAAGGTCACAAACCATAAAACTGCACTGGAATCGATTTTCAGTGATGTTTTCTTAATCTTGGGGACTAATATCGGTAGAACATAGATAAGACCAACACTGTTGGTTTCTGCGAGGAGATAACAAGAATAAACACCATGAAAGTAAGTATTATTTCATACGATTCTCAGAACAATAACTATTATTTCCTTAAAGAACGTTAATCAATTGATCTCTGTAACGGAGATGTGCTTTCTTTGAGGTGAGAAATGCACATTATTATGTAGAGATGTGGAAAGCCGGTTTACTACTGGGATTATGACCGTTTGTATCCCAAATGTAAATAAGATACGTTACTGATGATTTTTTGTTTTGTGACATACGGTATTCATAGCATAAGCTTATTTCACCCAGATCATCTTCGAGCCTTACGTATTTTGTGTACTTACTTCGAGATCGGATTCTGTTGTAACATGTAAAATAATTACAGCATCATATTTGTGATAAGAATGTTTTCGTAAAGTAAATAAGCACCATATACATGGATATCAAATTTAAAAATTTAATGTAATTAAAGTAATTCCATATCTTTAGTTTCTTAATCCGACTGTTCTGTTTTCTACTGCAATGACTAGTAGCACAAACAAACCTTCCTTTATCAGATTAGGAGGGTCAAGGATCAGAGGACAGAATACTGTAACAGACGAAAGAGGATTTAGTTTATAGGACACCAAGTCTAAGCTAATGAAACAGACGGACATTAATTACATACTGGTATGAGATTTGAACTTCTCACGACAGTAAAGACGTCGATGTTGATCTTCTGGGTAGCAACGCTTTATGGACTTGTAGGTAGATACAAACGTTTCGAAAGAACATACCGTCTCCGTTTTCAGAGGTGGAGGAAATGGCATGTTTCTCCGAAATGCTGGTTGTCTACCTTTAAGTCTACTTGGCGTTACTACCCAGAAGATCATCAACACAAGTACTGGTAGTTTGACATTCGGCAGTTCCTGGCTTGCTATTCGCATAACTCCAGGAAACAGTCTGTCCTGCTCAGCTGATTTAAAAAATTCCCAAATTTTTAGGCCATCATGTACATTTCTTCGTTTCTCTAGCTGTTTATCAAATGCTGTTTCCTGTGAAAATCGTACGAGACGCCGGAAATTTTCGATATTCGAGATGGACTCGTAGATATTCGTAGATGTTTGTGGGATTATTGCTTAATAGCTAATTAAATAAATGCGTTAATGGAGACAGCTTTAAATTAACTTGCGTGAATTACAGAAAAAGAATAATTTATAAACTTATTTCTCCTGAATGGAGAATAGTTTGATATTGTCACGGAAAATGGAACCTTGTAAAAAAAAAGCAGGCAAATATGCACGAGCAAACAGACACCAAGGAAACTAAAAGTAGATCTTCAGCAAAACGAGCTGTCACAGATAACAATAAAATAAAGTATCACAGGTCTATAAATTCATGTAAGAAACCTAACCGAAACAAAATTCTCCCGCTTGAACCAAGTCAAAATTCGTAATGAAGTCTGAACAAACGAGAGAACTAACAAACACGCACAAAACGTTACGAATCGAGTTATAACTCAAACAACGAATGCTAGAAGTGAATACATGGTGCTGTATAAACACCAAACTGTACACAGTTTCTTGAAACCCGAAGGTTCATTAGCGTGTTCACAAGGGTTCACCATTAGTCCCTAACCTTAGCCAGATTAATCCAATTCGCATCCTCACTCCATATTATTTTAAATTTATTCATATATTATTTTCCTGCCTGTACCTAGGTGTCCCAATTGGATCTAAAATTGCATACGATTTTCAAATCTATCCCAAACTAGGCGCACTCCCCGCCTGTTTCAAACTCCTTGACATGATTATCCTAATATTATAAGGCGAAGAGCGCAAACTATGAAGGTATTAATAAGTAGTGGAACTAGGATACAATCTGCTGAACATATTTTCGTCACACTTTCTTTATTTTATAAGGGAAATATAAGATAAGCTTATCAAATATAAAGAGAATTGTAAAATCAGTGAAGGCATATGATGAGGAAAAAATCACAAATTAGGTGATAGCAAAGCTGAGAGATAGTGGTATAGTTTTAATTTTAGTTTTACGTAAATGGAAACACAGAATGTAAAAAGAATGTTAAGATCAATGCAAATATATACAGAAGTGTACAAAATACCAGGGAGTCAGATTTTGTCACTTTCATTCAAGACGTGATGGGTAATGTATAAAAAGTCTATCCAAAGCAAAAAGTTACAACAAATTCAGGCAGAATACCAAAGTAAGAAAATGACTAGCATTGTAGTTACAGCATTATATTTCATCTATTTTTTTGTACATCATCTGAAATGTTGATTTCTTTCTCTCAGCTTCATAGACCAATTGCCAACCTCTCATGTTTTCAGAAGAGTGCATATTATGCAGGGATCAAAATTTTCAACAGTCTACCATCAAATCTCACAAGTCTTGTAAATAAAAAGGCACAATTTAAACCAGCATTAAAAAGATACTTAATTACACACTCCTTTTACTCTGTCGATGAATTTCTAATGTTTACAAGTAAGTCGTAATTTATCTATTGTAATGGGTGGATTTATTTGTAACTTATCTCTACTTTATGTGAACACTTTGTATTTGTGACATTTATATAATAGTATGACTTGTATTTGTATAACATGTATTGTATTATTATGACTTATTCTACATCCTATTGTCATCTGACTAACTTATGGATCCATGGAATGTAATAAAGATGTATGTATAAATGAATATTTGTTGTCATGTGTATATGTGAAACGTCCATTTAACCGTGGTACTCCCTAAGTGCGTTTTAACGCTATGTAATTTTGAAAATGATCGACCGGCTACTATTTAGTGTTTGTGTCTCAATTCGTTTTCCACCAGTACCTCCTACTCATTAACAGAATTTCCATACTGAATAAAATTGTTATGATATTTCCTTCCACAATACTCTTGCAGATTGTGGTAATTATAATGACGAGAGTTTGTTTTTACCGTATTGCCTCGAACGCTGATATAATCACTCAATGTTCAGTGCAGGGCGTAATTCTGTAACTGCAGCTCGTGGATATTTGTGAGTTTGCTGATGCCAGAAGACTACAAATACGCAATTACGCACGCTATTAACAAGCGAAACGCACATCTCACAAGTTACAACAAATTTTAAACTGAACTTTCTAACCTGATTAGGTATAAAAAAAAGGTGACTGAAGCTGGATGCAACGCACAGATAAACTTTCAAAATTTATTCCATTTTCGGTTTGTACAATAATGTGGGAAAAAGAGAGGTTAGGTATTTTGAAGAATAACTGCCAGTAAGTCATTATAAAGAATTATGCATTTTAAAGTAACCTTAAATTTAGAGCCAGTCTTTCTTTATGTTCTTCCTTTCAATTTCTGATTGACATAGTCGCTTCAAGTTTTCAGATATCACAACACTTAAAATCTCTCTAAAACCTGTGACAACCATCTTCGAGTCGTTTAAAAATCCACGGTGACGGCTGTCAGAAATTTGAAAAAGTCGACCGAATGTGGCTGTCGAGTAGTCAGAACTTCTGCTTCGTATTCGGAATATTCCGGGTTTGAATCTCGCCACGAGGCCGAATATCCTAATTTAAATCTTCCGCCGTTTTCCTCAGTCCTTCCTGCAACATGCCGGGATAGTAGGGTATACCTCAAGTCAGGCTATGACCGCTTCCTTCCAGATATTGTATTTTCGGTTCACCATTCGTTTATCAGCACACAATTCGAACTACTGCCAACGCCGTAAAATTAACTAAAATTAAATAAATGAATAAGTGGAATGAGTTGAAACACGACAGCAGTACAGTTCTGTACAAAAAAATGCTAACAACACGGTCAAAGCCCGTGCAAATGCGCATTTAACATGTCCGTCCTCTCGATAAACCGATATTCATGTTCCTCGAAGAAATTTTGGCTCGCTATTAACATGATTGGTCCTATTCAGAATCACAACAAACAGCATGAAAATACTTTAAAATGTACTAAGTTTTTTTCATTAATTAAGGAGGTTGTTGTGGAAATCATTCGGAGCAGAAAACGTAAACAAAGATATTTTCAGAATCGCCACTGTTTCCGAGTGACGACATTTTTGCGTCAACATAAAAAATTCTGGTAATTTATGCAGATTATGGTTAAAATGGACTTTTAGCCCTGATCATGGAGGCAGCAAATCCCTCTGCAACTTCAGTAAACTTTACCATCACAGCGCAACAATCCAGAAGACGGCCATTTTCGTCAATTTATATATCTTTGCCGCAACTATATACCTCGGCATAGCACTACGAATAAAAAGTAAAACATTCAAAAATCTTCTGGGGAATAATTATAGCCATATGAGATTTAATATTCTCGTGACAAATAAGTCGATGTTGGTCTTTTGGCTGCAACGTCGTGAGGTCTTTCTTACTCCATGCCACATTTGAAAAGAGCAGGTGGCGCGACTGACTTGTAATTGGCAGAAAAACGGTTCCAATGTCTAAGTCTGCGGTTTTGATATGTGATTTTCCTCAGCCATACTTCTCAATTGCGAGTCCCACACGTTAAAGCCGTTCCAGCCAGCCTAGGTTACTGGGTCCAGACAAACGCCCATTGAATGTGGCATTTGAATAACCACATGAGTCCGATTTTTTTAGACAACTGAGCTATCACTGCAATCACCGGGCGAAATGCATCGTTCCCGACAAGAATCAGACTTGACCAAGCCTTTTCTGCGTGTGGGCAGACTCTTTTTTTACTACTTCTAAAGAAACCACTGGAATCCAAATTGAGGCCACCCCAACAGTGACAAAAGACGCATAACCACATTAATCATTAAAAGTTTCTTTAATATTATACGGGTACTTGTAAAGCAACACGAGTCCAAAAGTAACTTTGGCTTACAACTCTGGATGCAAAAGATGTTAGTGAGCTAGAACCACATAAAAAATTAGATCGGCCTACCTGACAATTATTATCTTGGGGAAAAAATAAATCAGGCGCAAATCAAATAGTGCGTTGCTACCATTCTTTTTTCTATTCTTCTCAAAAAAAAAGTTTCGCGGACTCATGTTATTTTACAAACGATCGATTCAATTTCAAAGGAAACAGACAGGAAAACAATCCAACATGTCTTATATCCAGCTAAAAACTGACGTACATGAAGCTATTTTCGTAATTTTATCCAGAAAAATTGACTGTTCAGTAGACACGAGGTTTATTAACCTTTAGGACACCACGTATAGCCCGTTTAATTTAACTTCAGATCTCCTTCTGGAACACCGTATAACTCTTAAAGAAATTCGGCATGTTATAACGAAACCTTCAGCGTCATTTATGACAAACGGTGGTTTCTCCATTCTTGACATCAACAGTGACCCTTGTGGGAGAATGACGTCAGATTTCGAGGGTTGTGTAAAGAGGTTATCAGAAAGATACAGCCCCCCCCCCCGCATCATTCTTTAATCGTAACACAAAACAATATAACGCTCTATGCAGTGCAATGCAGTTTTAACACGGTACAAACGAACGTTCTAGAAGCTTGGTTTTCTCATCACCAGTAACATTTTTGTTAGAGAACATTTTAAAACCCAGTGGCTTCTATATTTACCACCTGCTTCAACAGTAGGTAACACTGAGATTAGTCTGAAGATTTTTGACGAAGGTGTATCGTCAGACTGATTCGTATACTGAACATTTTCCTTCGTCTATTAATTAAAAAAATCTCGGAAGCTGACTATCTTATTCCCGTTATCAGGTAAAATCATACAACGTAATGAGCTGGGTCCAATAGAAGATCATGTCAACCCCCATCTTGGAATAATACTAAAATTGATCTTAAAGAAAATGGTAGTGAGCGTATGAAATGGATTGAACTTTCGAAATATTTCGCCCAATTATTGTTATTATCGGCCTCAAACCTTCGAGTTAGAAGCCTATTACTGTAGAGTTAATTATTTAATGGATATAATGCTGTTCAGTGCTTGTAAAGTAATTAGGAAAACGCTGGTTAAATTTCATTTAAATGTGGGAAGGTATTTTTCTTCTTCACAAGTAAGTTCTCAGATCTATAAAGCCATTTCTGAGGTTCAGAACTGGTCCCGCCCTTTTCATTTATAAACATTAGCTTTGTTCTGTAACTAGTGTTTCGCAAGCTTCGTTTAGGTTTCATTTCTCATAATAATAATAATAATAATAATAATTTATTTACATTCCATGGATCCATAAGACAGTCAGATGATAATAGGATGTGGAAAGTCATAATTCAATTCAATTAATTTATTTACGTGTTTGCCAACAGCAAGAAGCCAATAACAGGCAAACACTGATAATACATACAATAATAGTGAAATAATAGTGAAATAATATTGAAAAATAGTACACAAACAGATTAACTAAACTTATACATGTACAGTATTAATATAACTGCCAAGTACAGGCAAACCCAATTTAACCTATAGTTTTATAAACGGGTTAAAACAGCGGCAACATCTCTGACTGTATTCGAAACGTACTCTGTTCTAATCTTGTGGTGTCAATCATCCCATGACTGTTTCATATTTCTATTCAAACCTCCCAGTTGAATTCCAGGATACTACCTTCAACATCCTTCCTTGTTATTCGATCTTTCACATTAGTCAAGTCCTTTCAAGTTCCTGTTTTTAAGCGACCTGCATTCAAGAAATTTGACTTGTGTGATAGAGGCTTCCTCTATTTCTACTTTTTTATCGTCTATGCCATAGACGATAAAAAAACCTAAACGAAGCTTGCGAAACACTAGTTACAGAACAAAGCTATATGCTTATAAATGAAAAGGACAGAACTAGTTCTGAACCTCAGAAATAGCTTTATAGACTCTATGGTCAAGCCTGGCCGTCGTGACCCCTTTCGGGGTTTCCTTGCCAAAGTACCACGGTGGTTTCGCCTTGCCTTCCTTTACCCACCAGACTGGAAAAGGAGACGCGGACAAACATCCATGTCTTGAGTGGGACTCCAACTCACGGTCGCAGCGCACGAGGACCATGCCTTAGACCGCGTGGCCACTGCGCTGGCCTATTTCTACAAGCAGACTGTTAAGTAAGTTGATAAACCTGATCTGCATCAACCATATCTATTCGAACGAAACAGCCGATTATAAAAGTGAATGCTACGTGCAATGCTAGAGAATACTAAGAACACTATGTGAAACATATACATACCTTTTTTCCATTGACATAAAAGGTTAGGGTTGATTCCGTTCTGAACACAGGTTCCTTCATGACGACTTCAAGCAACGAACCTCCTTCGACAAAGTATCGCTAAGAAATGACACTCTCGACAGCACTTACCTCCTTGTGCTGACATTTACTGTAGACGCTGCGCCCAGATATGCAAGGCGACCCAAGGTCACACGGTACCTCTTTCAACTAGTTCATACAAGTTATTTTCCAGGGCCGGCCTTGCTGGCTATGCCACAAGATCTCAGTGACCCACATTTTTGCAAAAAAAGAAATAAAAAGGAAAAAACCATCGCAAGTAGTTTCTGTTGATTTCCTGACCCTGAGCAGCTACAATTGCACTTATATTTCTCTCTTAATGTCTCCAAACTTAAGCCATTGGTAGGACTGTTCCTTATAGACCTGTTTTTCATCTAAGCTACATGAAAACTATCCAGGCAACCCCATCCTTCCCATTTTTATTTTGTTTTGAGGTATCATGTTTTCATTTGCTATGTTGTTCTTCTTGTTACAATTTAAGGGAGGGCAGGTTCTTTGAGTTCTGTTCATCACACGGCCCCATTTTTCTGAAGACCAACCTTCATTCTCATATAATCTATTTTACCTTCACCTACGGGTCATGTTCAGATCTCCCATCAAAATGCATGTCACAGTTATTTATTCAATTCTTCTGCCATCTTCTGAATAATAAACTGGAAGATTTCTCGCTATTTCAGGCATTTATTTCACGTGTGCATCAGTTCTTAGGGCCGTTTCACACTGTCGACCGGTCACCGCCGACCAGTCGCTGAACGACCACTAGGTAGAGAAGATAATACGAGTTTACACACGAGGGCGACCGCGACCAATGGCCGCCGTCGACCTACAAGCAGTGAGCGACGCACGGGAGACCAACGACCACGAGATACATAGATGGCAATCACGTGTTCACATTGCGGGCGACTCAGTCAGCGACCAGAGCTCAGAGAGGTGACATATCCATTGTTTCTTGTTTTCTCCCGTCTTGTTCATGTTACTCAAGTGATTAGTATATCATGAGTTTTGATACTGAAAGATTTATTTCGGTCGTAGAGTCACGAAGAGCCATTTGGGACCTTGCAAGATCCGATTATGCAAACAGGGAGTTGAAAAAAAGTCAGTGGGAAGAGGTTGTGGAATTGTTTGGCGGGGAAGGACTTCCTGAAGCGTCGAAAAAGGATCTAGGTAAGTAAAGAAATTTGAATATTAAAGTACTTAGGTATGTGTTTGGGTATGGATGCATTACAAAACGTACCGATATCAAAGTCCTCTGTAGGGGTTTATGTCAAAACCATGTCTACAATTTTACAAACAACAAATAGTGATTACAGTAGAAGTACATTTTAAAGCTACTAAAGCTAAATAACATCGCTTAGCCATTCCAATCGACCTTCATGCATAAAGTAATCTGCAAAGAAATCCCTGTAACAGGCCCCGCGTAGGCTTGCTCTTGTTGTTTCATGCCGTACGGTGTTTTGGAATCCAGGAATTGTCAGGTGTCTTCATATTGATATCCATCTCTTACTCGTACATAATTATGCAGAACGCAACAAGCTTTAGTTATGTTAACGGCCAAATCAATATCGACGTTCATGGCTCTATGGAAAATTTGCCACTTATTGGCTAGTATTCCGAACGTGCAGTCTAGCATTAAACATTTTTTTCTGTGGAGTTACATTAGAGCCTGCATAAGGACGCATTACTCTTTCAGACTGTCCAAATGCTTCATCGCCAACAATGAAATATGGTACAGTTGGGGAAATTTGCCCTGACGTTGAACTCGTCTATTTCAAGCCATTTCTCCCTCGTAGGTACAGGTAAACATGCATTTCTGAAAATATTCCAGATGAAATAGGTGACTTCCCTAATTATTGCGGAAATTTTTGAGACGCCGAATCTAAATGAGTAATGTAGATCCACAACCACAGCCACTTGCCAGATATCTGTAACAAAAAAGAATGTGAATAGTCAATTAGTAAATAGGTACAAAATTGTAAACAGTAAAAATGGAAATATTCCTTTAATTTCAATGTTTATACTTTTTATTTATTATTTGCATATAAATTGTTGATTATTTATTTGTTCGCAGGGATATCTCTCCAAAAAAAATGGAAAAATATCAGAAGCTGCTTCGCGAGAGAGGTAAGAAGATTGAAAAACATTAAAAGTGGTTCTGCAGCATCACGAAAGAGTGAATATATTTTCTATAATCAACTTTCATTTTTAAAAACCACAACTGAAACCCCAACTTCTGCAAACAGCATGTCAGAAGAGGTTGGTTCTTCCGACCAAAATGCTACTGGGCCATACCCGGAACATCGCTCGGCTACCAGAGGGAAAAGGCAAAGACCCTGTAGTAGCGATACTGATCAGGAGTTGCTTACTGAGTTGCGAAGATCTGTCGATGCTAGGATAGCAAGGGAGGCTGCGTTGGAAAAGGATGAAGACAGAATGTTTTTGATATCACTTCTATCCTCGTTCAGGAAAATTCCCGAACATAAAAAGGCTTCGACCAAAATAAAAATAATACAAACAATACAAAACGCCCAACACAGATAACTTTACGGGATCACTTTCATACCCTACTACGTCATGGGGCACTGAATCGCTTGTTTATAATCAGTGGTTATTACAGAAATCCTCCTCCAGGTCAACAACGAAGAATTCCGGATGAACATCCCTCATCTGATGTCTCTGACGATACAAAAGATTCCGGTGGTTATGTGGACTTGTTTTGAATTTTCGGTACTAATAAATTGTCGTTCTTTTTTTTAGTTAGTTAATTTCTTAAAAATACGTTCGTTTGATGCTGCTCGTGTTTGTTCTTTTATCTAACAACTTTTCAAAAATAATGTTAATTGGCTATTAGTTTGGAATGCAATAAATTATTCACTGCGTTCACGTAAGTTGATTTGATTGATTTAATAATGTTTTTTTAAATGGCACTTACCTCAAAGTCACACATAGCTTTTCTTCAGCGGATATGCACGGTCTCATGTTGGTATCCAATCCCGTAATTGATGGTCTTAAGGCGCTCAACAGTTCATCGAAACATTTCATGGACATTCGCATAAAGTTAAAAAACTTATCTTCATGTTTCCTGAGGTCATAAAAAAACAACGAAAACATTCCTTTGCTGCCACGTTCTTGCAACAAAGGGTGCACCCAATGTTTTCTACTCCTCTTTTTTTCTGTTTCTAGTGGAACGAATTTTTATCATTATAGTGATCTCCTCAATTCGCCACGGTGGTCTAGCGGTCAGAACACTAGCCTTGTAAGCCTGGGGTCCCGGGTTCAATTCCCGGTGGTGCTCAAATTTATAACTTGTGTTGGGCAAGGCCGTGGTCTAGGCATCACGGAGTTTTCCTCCGGGGGCTTCCCCGGTTTCTCCGTGGCATCCCAACAATTACTCCACTCACACACACAGAAGAAGGCAATGGCAAACCACTTCTGATCATCTCTGCCAAGAATGTATATATGTATGAGCAGGTCCCTGACAACCTGAAGAGATTGGAAGGATCCTGTTCATAATATATGGACCTGTCGTCAGACAGAACACTACAAATAATAAAAAAAAGTGATCTCCTCGACGTCCATACTGCTTGACTGCTTCCAAAGTACCGAGGCTGAGGCCTATGTCTGCGCTGGTCTCCTCGTTTGGTCGTTCTGCGACTGGTCGACAGTGTGAAACGGCCCTTAAAGTTGTTTGATAACCTGCTCTTTCATATCTAACTTCTTCCCCTCCATCTTTAACCCACACACAAATCAGTTCTACTCAATTTTCATTCAACTTGGTGCAATATTTCATAAATAGTAAAGTAAAGTTTGTCCCGCTATACGCCATGTAGGCGTTTGGGGGGAGTGGGGGGATAGCTCCTCTCTTCCTTGACCTCGGCAATAGATGGGGGTGAGTGGTCAGCATCACGCCCCGGCCGGCTTTACCCCCGGGAAAGGAACCCGGTACCCATTGTAGAGGAGGCTGGGTGGGCCCCAGAGCAGGTCTGGACGCAGAGGCTAGAGGAAAAATCCTCTGCCCCCGTCGGGAATCGAACCCCGGCCGTCCAGCCTGTAGCTAGTCACTATACTGACTGAGCTATCCCGGCTCATATTTCATAAATATGTAGGCCTAAATAATAGCATTTTAATTACTTTTGTGATTAATGTATACTTAAGAAGGGTTACTAGCACTAAAAACAACATGTTTAATAATGCAAATGTATGACAGTTTTTAAAGTTAAAACTATTCATGTTATATGAAGACATGATGATATAGTTTTACTTTGTATTCTAGTTATTTTGCTCAAATTTATTTGATATTTTCAAGTAAACACAACAGAGAAAAGGGAATATGAAGTTAATAATTCAGATTATGAAGCATCATTTTTGCCTTGAGAATATAATTGGTTGCGATTTTGAGGTTTTCACAGCGGTGAGTATGAAGATTTCTGTCTTCTGGGCTTTTGTGCTGTGTAGTCTGGTCGATGTTAACCATCGCCCTGATGACCGAGGCAGTATGACCTCTGCAACGTTGGAAAACATCGACCAGACTACACAGTGCAACAACCCAGAAGACAGAAATCTTCATATTCATCGCCCTGATGATGGAGGCAGTATGACTTCTGAAACGTTGGTAAACATCGGCCAGACTACACAGCGCAACAACCCAGAAGACAGAAATCTTCATATTCATCGCCCTGATGATGGAGGCAGTATGACTTCTGAAACGTTGGTAAACATCGGCCAGACTACACAGCGCAACAACCCAGAAGACAGAAATCTTCATATTCATCGCCCTGATGATGGAGGCAGTATGACTTCTGAAACGTTGGTAAACATCGGCCAGACTACACAGCGCAACAACCCAGAAGACAGAAATCTTCATATTCATCGCCCTGATGATGGAGGCAGTATGACTTCTGAAACGTTGGTAAACATCGGCCAGACTACACAGCGCAACAACCCAGAAGACAGAAATCTTCATATTCATCGCCCTGATGATGGAGGCAGTATGACTTCTGAAACGTTGGTAAACATCGGCCAGACTACACAGCGCAACAACCCAGAAGACAGAAATCTTCATATTCATCGCCCTGATGATGGAGGCAGTATGACTTCTGAAACGTTGGTAAACATCGGCCAGACTACACAGCGCAACAACCCAGAAGACAGAAATCTTCATATTCATCGCCCTGATGATGGAGGCAGTATGACTTCTGAAACGTTGGTAAACATCGGCCAGACTACACAGCGCAACAACCCAGAAGACAGAAATCTTCATATTCATCGCCCTGATGATGGAGGCAGTATGACTTCTGAAACGTTGGTAAACATCGGCCAGACTACACAGCGCAACAACCCAGAAGACAGAAATCTTCATATTCATCGCCCTGATGATGGAGGCAGTATGACTTCTGAAACGTTGGTAAACATCGGCCAGACTACACAGCGCAACAACCCAGAAGACAGAAATCTTCAGAATATTGCTTCCTATTGCAGATGTCCCTAAATCCTTGACAGGGCATGTTTCCAATACAAAAGCAAGTGTTAATTAAGGAACACTTTACAAAACAAACTCTGCTGTTATATTTCCAAACCAACCAAGAGAATGCAAGGATAAAATGGTACATGATATAGGGCAGATGTGCACTGATAGAACATTTCTCTGTTATTTTGATTGCCTTTCTTATATATTACACATTTTATTAATCCTCCTATGTAGTCCATCCTAAACAAATCAGGGAAGTGACACTGAATGAGGTTAAGCTGAACACTTCTGGATTATCACTTATAAATCATGCTAGTTTCAAAATCAGTGATTGACCCAATATCCATCAACATATCTGCATTTTGAACCCTGATTCCGTGTTTAGAAGTGGACAATCAGAGATGTCACAATAACCTTGTAACACAAAAGAATATTTTCAATTACATCTGCACTTGTGAGTCTCTTCTCTGAACACTCTGCGGAATATTTTTGTCCCTGCATCTGCCACTGTTTCCCAGTTCACTAAGTGGAATGCCAAATTCAGCTGTGGCCCACACGTCACAGTTCGGGCTGTAGCTCGCGGCCCGAGGCTTCCAGTTACTGCCGCCTCCAGTAGTACTTGACAGCCCTGCACCCGTACTTGTGGCGTCTTCTAAGGATCTACATTTCCCTCCCATATGACCGTGACCACCTACGGTTTGTGCCGATACATGCAGGTGGTGCTGGCTACTCTGGCACCTAGCAAGGTATGAGGGATTGCTGCCAGATGGATTAGCACCATAGCTGGCAGCACCAGCAGATGAACTGCTTCTGCGACGGTCCTCTAAAGCATTGAGGCTACATGTCGGAACTATTCTGTGTGGGAATCGAGGGGAACCCTTTGCTCGTTCCCTGAATGACAGGACTGGTTGCGAACGTTGATGCTGCATCATTCCCTTCTGCACAGACGAGTAGATAATTCTTCTCTCATCTGCACCAAAATCTTTTTCCTCTTTATGTGAAAGACACATACCTAGTGAGAACTTTCTTCTATTTGCACTGTTACTATCTTCTCCATCAAAGTAGGTACTAACTTCAGGTTCATCATTGGATGTGACACTGATGATGGGACCACTTCCACCTCCTGCTCTGCCACAGAAGCGCTTTAATGGATGGAGTTCTCTGGAAGATTGCCCACCACTTAGTCCATACTGGTTTAATGCTGCGACACTAGTGTTGCATGAGGAAGTCATGGCAGCCATGTTGCTGTTGGGAACAAGACCTGCCAAGTAACCCATGTGGACTCGAAGAGCTGACGCAATGCCTCCTCCAGTCGAAGTACCAGAAAAAGAAGCTGTGGATGTTTTCCGACTTGAGGGTCGACTTCCAAGCAGGTTCTTGAGGCGACTAAAGACACCTGGTTTTCCTGAAGCTTCCATGTCATTATCCTGATGATCACAAATGATGTAGCATTCCTGTTTTCTGCTAGACTCTCCTGTAGCTATCGAATCGTCCAGCTTTGGTTCCGAGCTGAATGTGACTTGACGACGCATGGGAAGGTTCCCATGTTCAGCTGATGGCCAGCTAGCCCGTGGTATTACAGGAGGTAGCACTGATAGCAACAACAAGGGAAGACCTCCTCCCACACTGGGTGAGGGCAGCATTTCCATCACATTGTGTTTCTGGGCAGTTCCTCTCTCATCAGGAGAAAGATCAGTCTGAAAGTGTTATTTGAGACTTTCAATAGAGTGAAAATGAGAATCATCTTTGTTTCTGTTATGATACAAAGTAGTCTTGCAGGTGGCTACTGGTATTTTGGAGGATTATATCACTTCTACCTTCAGGAATACAAGTTCCTCCAGAGCACTGGTAGCCACCTAAAAGAGTCTTCCAATAACCTAAATTATCACACAGAGATGATTACCTTCTGGGATTTTGTGCTTTGGAGTCTCATAGAAATTTATGTTTTAGAGATACTTACTCTCTCCCTATTTCTATCCCATATGTACTACATGCCCCAACTCTCTCACACATCAAACACACACACTCTCTGTCCTTTACTTATAAAAGGAGATTTTTCTCCTTCCTTCCTTCCTCTCTCTCTCTCTCTCCTCATTCCCCTTCCTTTCTTTGTAAGGAAAGTGGGCTACAGAACATCTCCTTAATACCAGATAACCTAACCACAACCTGAAGTCTACACTTCTGGAAATAAAAATGGTGGACTTACCAATACAATTTCATGACTGACCTTCTTGGAAGCTGCTTCCTCAGATGTGGAATCTGAAGATGTATTTGGTGACTCTATCAACTGCCGTTTCAAACGACAAATTTCCAAATCCAATGCTGCAATTTCTCTACGATAAACACGGTTCTGAATTTCAACACGATATTGGAGTTCTCTCTGATCATCTGTGACAAACCTAAAATTAAAAAAACAGTATACAATGTCAACATTACTCACTTTAAATATTGTTCAATGGTTCTCAAAGAAAAGTTTGCTGCTGCTGATCTGACTTGTGGCATTCAGTTTTAGTTATATTTTGATGAGGATATACCAAAATACATGAACACTTATGGTTTAGTAAAGGAAACTAAGACTCAAATGAAAAAGTGACAATTTCTAACTTTTTGTACTACTCATGAAAGCAGCTGGATTCTGTAATGAGAACTGTTGCTATACTTGAAAAGTACTGTCATAGTTCTATAGAGTTTATCCACAAAGGAATCGCACACATTTTATGCATCCTATCATCATGTTATCATTTACAGGCCATTAGGGTTGTAGAGAAAATGAAACAAATGGTCACATAATTTATGTTTCAAAGCATCAAACATCTAAATATTTTCTAAATTTTAACATAAAAATGTGGAACAGAGCCCAGTTTAACTTGATATAATGCACATACTAAATTAAAGTTATTATTATTTAATGTTCTGTCTGACAATGTGTTTTAACAGAACCTGTAAGATCAAGAAATTCCCCATATTTTACAGAAGCCAAAGGTTCATTACTGTGTTTACAGGCGCACAGAACTAGACCGTGTCTTGGCCAGAATGAATTATCTAAGATCCGTTTTAATAATACCTTCTTACAGAAACCTAAGTCTCCTAAGTGGTATCTTTTCTTTAGGTTTCCCAATTAATATGCATTTATCACATATCTCTCTAATGCACACAACTTCCTCCATCTATCTCATTCTCCTTGATTTAATCACCCCAATAAAATACGGTGAAGAGCACAAATTATGAAATCCCCGTTACAGAATTTTCTTCAGTCTCCTGTTACTTCTTCCTACTTAACAGACCAGATCCATCACTTCAATGAGTTTGTTGGCACAGAAACATATATCTTGCAACTGTGACAGTTACAGCTTTACGCTCACCTCCTTGTATTGTATTCTATCTTGAGGCCCATGCTATGCATTACCGGATCCCCATTGTCAGCTGCACGTCCTAAGATAGCATGAAGTTTGGGTAAGAAGAGAAGGCAGAGTGTGGCAGTGGTGGATGTTAAGATAAGTGTTGTGATCGTGACAAATGCCAAGGTGGCTTGCTCTGAAATAAGGTTTGCTAGCACAACCACAATGACGCTAGTGATAACCACACTGTAGACACTCATGCCAATGTATTGAGAGTCATTGAGAGCTGGAATCTTCACATGCCTGAAAATAATTTCAAAAATATGATTTTATATATTAACCTCACTAACTATATCAATGGGATAATCGCTTTGAAAGTGACCTGTTGATGTCTCTAAGTGTCTGACTGACTTACTAACTAGTGAATTCCATAAAGCAGATAGAGACCTTCTTAAGAAGCTGATACTTCCTCATCTAGTCTAGATATTCTGTTTTATATGGAATCTGAAATTTTATTACCATGTTTATAAGAGGCAGCCATAGGTTACTACACTATCCTGTGCCAGATGTATCCAAACTAAACCTTCACATCCTACTTCCTTAAGAATTATACAGCGCGTTTCAAAAGTAGCTTTACAACTTGAGGGTGAGATATTGGTGAACTGATAAGAGAAACATATAATTTCAGAACACAGAAATGCAGTCAAACACTTCAAGTTTTATGTCCATCGGATTTTTATGGTTCAATGTGACTTCCATTTGTTATGCGGCAGAAGTCCCAACTGTAGTCAATATCTTGCCACATGCGGTGTAGCATCTCCGGTGTCACTTCAGCAACTGTGGCTGTAATTCGAGTTCGGAGTTCAGCCACATTTGCAGGTAAGGGTGGCACGTACACTCAATCTTTAACAAATCCCCACAAGAAAAAATCTAAAGGTGTTAGATCTGGGGAACGAGGTGGCCGTGCTATAGGTGCGGCCCGACCAACCCACTGACCTGGGAAACGGTTGAGGTACTCGCGCACTTCTCCGAGGTCTTCATCTTCTTGAGGAATAAGGAACTGTTGGAGCATGTCCAGACACACAATGCCGGTAATGGTCGCTCCATGAAAAAAAAAGGGGCCGTACACTTTATCTTTGCTGAGGGCGCAAAACACATTAACTTTTGGACTGTCACGAGCATGTTCCAGGAAGGCACGTGGATTTTCACTACCCCAAATCCTGCAGTTGTGGGTGTTGACCTTACCAGTTACATGGAACGTGCTTTCGTCACTGAAAATTATTGAGTCCAGAAAACCTTCGTCGTCTTCAACCCGCCGCAACATTTCCGTACAAAATTTCTTACGAGCCAGTTTATCACCATCTGAAATGGCTTGCACCATGGATATTCTGTACGTTCTTAAGTGTAAACGTCTTCGTAACACGCCACATAGTCACATGTGGAATCCCACTTTCCCGAGATGCACGTCTCGTTGACTTGCGTGGACTTCGAGCGAAGCTCTCTCTAATCTGTTCCACGACGTCTTCAGAAACACGTGGCCTACCGGCTTTCCTTCGAACTTGTGTAGCAGACTTTGTTTCTTCGAACCAGAACACACAACAACTTCGCTCCTCACCTTTGAAAGTAGCCATCTTGATCACACTGGCCGGGAGCGCTCGCGGTGGCAGTTTTCGGTACTTTCAGGTAAAGGAACCTCAACATTTTTAAGACTTACAAAAAATTATTTGTAGGCACACGTGAATTTGTTTCTAAAGTTGGTGCTGCTTTGGTTGTTGGTACCATGGTGATGTGGGCTGTGTTGCTGACATTTCAGAGGAACATGCTGCTTCCATTATCAGTTCTGATCAGCCCACTTCCATATGATACTAGCACCCAAAAGCAGTACCAACATTAACAATGAATCATTTTGAAAACTTAAAATCAGTTATTTGTTTACTTAATGACACACAAACATTCTCTATCTATATCTCTGTTTCTAGAAAAGTTGTATAAGTTGTAAGATGTTGAAAATGGAATCAACACTACAGCTGGACTGGCACAGGGACATTGAAGGTTTATGTGATTGTGTAGTGTCCCCCTATTTGTGCAATGTGATGTGCTGACCTTGTTTCCCAGGCCATGTAGACTCCGACTATAAGCAGCAGTCCCTTGTAGCCATATAGCGCAGCCAGCCATCCATGGGTATACTGTGAACGACATACCTCTACCTGGAAACAATTTCACTGATCATTTATTTATTATATACACAATTAGGAAATTTCATCTTCTGTACATCTTTTGCACAAAAATTGTGTGTTTATGGACTGTTCCAAATGTCACAAGTTTCTGAATTGGTCATTCATCTATTCCTAGGTCTTCCTACATATCTGGTTTACCTCAAATATATGAATATAAAAGAACAGGAAGCCTGTCTTCTTTTATACTTGTATAGTGATCTAAAAAAGTTCATGTATTCAGCATTTGTTGTATTAAGTATTCTTTCTCATAACTTATGTTTTTCTACCAAAACATATTATAGATGTAATACTCTATATCTCATTTAATCCGTTATATATGGATATTTTCATCAGGCCCAGATATTTTACACCAGATGTAACTAACATTGCAGATAAGTAGATTAATAGTTTCAGACCACAATTACACAGTACCTGAGGTTGGTATACAACACTACGATCGGAGGCGCTGATCTCCAAAGTGAGGTTCCGTAGGTGACGCTGGAGTGGATCAATTATCACCCACAGTGTCATAATCAAACCATCAATTAAGAGCAGAACACAGATCAAAGAGATAAGTTGTGTGTCTTGAAGGAGCTAAAACAGATCAAGTATACCACTAATTATAATTTATTCATAGGTGCTCCTCATGCAGCAGTGGGACTTGTAGTAAAGTTTCCTAATTCACATTGTGTTTTTGTTCACCTGTCGAATACTTTCAAAATTGGATTTTTTTGATGAGCTTTTAATATAATTTTAACCAGAACATCTTTTAGAAACACAAACCTAAAACAATAATTTTCTACAATTTTTTCTGTCAGCCAATGGAAAGCTGAGTACCTAGATAGGAAATGTGTGCATAACATAATAATTCTGTCAATGGAAAAGTCCATAAATTTCAAAACCACAAAGTACACAAATGTTAAAATTATAGGTGAAAAATGTTAATCTGCCATCTTATCATGAAAGAATTTACCCATTTTGAATATGTTTCTCCACAACAATCAGCCAAACATTTTGCAGTGAAGGCTTGGAATGTCATGGCTTCACTTTATTGAAAAGGACCAAACCTGAAGTGGGTCTTGCATCATGACAATGTATTTTCCCACAAAGCACTTTTAATATAATTATTTCTGGCCAAGAAAGAAGTACCACTGTTAGAATTTCCACTTATATGCCTCATCGACATGCGTGACTTTTTCATGTTCACAGAACTAAACTCTTCTTAAAAAAGTAAAATTTTTAATTGCTTTAAGATGTTCTGAGCAGCGTGATGACAATACTGAAATGACTTAGGAAAATTATTTACAGCACAAAGATGTTAAATTGTATGTACAAAGACAGAAGGCAAGTACTTTGCAAGTAATCAAACTAACTGAAATTTAATGACAATTTCCATTTGTTTTTATAGAATTAATCAGTCAGACATAGCAGCACTTCAAATAAGGAAGTTATAATTGTTATACCAAGGTGAATTACTGAGCGATTCTTGGCCTTATTGACAAAAGACTATTTATACATTATTTCAACATTCTGCCCAGTGAAGGCTGGTCTTCAGTATGACTAAGCGATACAGTACAAGAATATGCATGTCTATGCATGTCACACACACACAAACACAAATAACCTGTTAACCTTGTTCTTAACAACTCCACTGCGACTCCGTGTGAAGATGCGGTGCACTCGATATGTCTTAGTGAACATGGACCCAAATGCCAGAGAGAAGCCAGCTGACAGAAGGTACACCCTTGCCTGGTAAATACAACAGAAAACTTGTACTGAAACCCATCAAGCAGCTTGGTTTATGAAAATATTCTAGGATTGTAAATGGGAGGTATACTCAGTCTGAACCTTGGCCAGGTTACTGACAATCATGATTGAGGTATTACATGATTTTGCTGACATTCTATGAACAACTCTTCCCAAATTCTTACCTATTCAACAGTCATGATCATTCTCTCATTTCATTCAGTGCTACATAACATCAAATAATGAAACTGTGTAGTTACATACATCAAACATCAATCGATGATGAATTGAAACCTAAGTTCATTTAAAGTTGTGAGGAAAAAGCAACAAATCATTACAAAGTTAGATAAACTTTCCTCAAAGGATCTTCAAAACATTATTTCTGTGTTTCCATCATTATGAAATAAAATAGACAGTTTTTTTAACCATTAATGAAATGTGATTACATATGTAGTCATATAATAATTTTTGTCACAGACATGAAGATGATAGTATACGTGATGAATAACTGAGTGGCATGATGTAACCTGAAATTTGACCAAAGCAAACCATTGATTCTGAGCCACTTCATTATACTTCATGTGACTGTCTACAAGGTTTCATCACCAAAATTCTGTGATCTTTTGTTTTTTCCATACTATCTGGTCCATCATAACCTCCCTGATTCAATTACAACAGTTCATTCATCTTTCACATCCAAATACTTTCTTCAGCACCTTGCTTCAAATATTTTTAATTCATGTCCTTCCATGAAGAAAAAAACCATTTCACAACCATACACAAGTAAACATTTAATTTAACCAACAAATTTCATACGTGTTTAAAACAATAAACAAGATGATTGTTTTATGTAAATGAACAATAATTTAACCTACACATTATATGTGTTTGGGATATAATAATTCATTTATCTGGAAAGATCCTCTTAGTCACTTACACTAGGACAGACAGATAAAAGGAGAGGTAATGGTGCTGATTTACTGTAGTAGAACAGACCAAGAGGGGCACAGAGGAATCAGCATTAGTACAGATCTGCACAAGCACAAATAAAAGTCATGTCCTAAACAGAAATACAAAGATGGCATGAAATTCTTGACTAACTAAGTAACTATAAATTTCTAGCAAATATGCACCATGTAAACAGTTGGTTAGGTACAGATTTTCATACTTACTGTGCAAACAACTGGAAAGTGAGTGTTTGTGGGCAGAGTGGCATGGTCCAGACCAAGAAGGATGACAGCTGTATACACTAGAATACAGCCAACCACTGCCATATTGTTCAGCCGTGGTGATGACAACTTGATGTACCTGCACAATACATACTTTCACATGCATTTGTTCAAAGGCTAGTGAAGAGTTGCAAGTGAGCAGACCAGGAGAGGGACAGTGGAACCAGGAAAAGTATTATTTTGTACAAGCACAGAATCTATCCCAATCAGACTATAATATGACTCATATGGTTACCAGATAATTAATTCCAAAATAAGAACACAATCTGTTAGTTAACTGGAATTTGTAGGTCATATGCTGCTAATACAAAAGACTACAAATGAATTTACTCTATTTAAATAACCTGATCTACTCTATTCAAAATTATACCCTTACATCCCATTCCTGAAAACCACTATAGAAGTTAGACAAGGATGGGAGTTCTCTTCACCATTATTTAATCTGTACATAAAAAAAAAGACTGAAAGAACCATACATTATACTATAGATCCAGTACTTAGATATGCTAATGGCTAAATTATTTTGAGCGAATGTGAGGAAGACCTACAAGTATTTAAATTTAATTTAACATATGACTATCTTTATTGCAGAAACAAAATTTGTGGCAATGAAAGTTAAATAAATATTACACTCAAAGATTGTAATAAATAACCATAAAAACATTTAAATATCTTAGAAACACAATAGTTTAAATAAAACAAATGGCATAATTACAGACATTTTAAATTGAAATTAGAGAAAACAGTAAAACTAACACCTATATCTTGATCTGGAACTTGGAAACTGAGAAAGAAAGATGAGAAATGACTGAAAGCTCAACAAATGAAACTTTTCAAACTTGTGGGTGCCTCAAGAAGAGACCGTGAAGTAATCAGAGATCAATTAGTAGGAGCCAATGGAGTAAAAGAAACAGAGAAACATAAATAACATAGGAGAAACCACTTTGAACGGATAAAAGACAGAAGATATTACAAGAGGGCATTTTATTATAAACCCAGAACTAGAAGGGAAATTGGGAGAGACAAGAGGAAAGGTGGTCAAAACAGTTTTGAGTCTTAGAACAAGCCCAAGTGGCCTTATCCTTGGCGAAGTATAAAGAAAATGACAATATATTTTGCCTTTCAGTTTTCTTCCAGGTTTCTTCATCTAAATCATAAATGCCTCTATGCTTTTCCATTCGAAGCTACATGTACTGTTGTATCAAAGCACTATGTTTTAAGGAAATGTGTGGGGAATGGAAATTTTGCTCTGTGCATTCTATACCTCATTTAGATGAGTTGTCAGAGGACCACTAGCTGCTTTACCCTCACCAACAGATCCCATAACACCCATCACATAAGAATATTCCCTACAGCCTTTCTGAACATTTTTCAGAAAATAAAAATCCCAAAACCCTTGCTGTTTTTTGGATGACGACTGTCAAAATTATAAGCATCACTTCAATAACTTAAGTATCATGTTTTACTGAGATGCTGTGTGGTGTCAGTTGTATTAGTGATACTGAATTGTTTCTTCTTCTGCTCATCTTCTTCTTTTGCACTTCAGCCTGATGTGGACCAACACCTCTCCTACTGTAAAGGACTTCTAAATACTTATTCATAAATTGTGCATTTCCTTGTATTTATCATAATACCATCGCATGACCATCAGGCCTTACTTGTGCAACCCTCCCTCTTATTTACAGTCAATATATATGTCAAAAAATAATTCTTCTTAAACACTTTAATAAAATGGTTTACCTAAACTTCAACAATTTTTCCTACTTTAACTATATATACCAGTGATGGACATCCCATGGCTTGCAAGCCAATTTCATGCATGGAAAGCTGAAGTATAAAACATACAATGACAAATAAAAGACACAGTAGGTAATTCTTAACATTACAATTAGTTTCAAAATAAAATATTAATATTGCAGTGCCTGAAATGAAGAATATCACATTTATTTTAAAAATCTTAATTTCTGTAAATGCAATGACTTGCCTTCATATACCTAACACCAAAATGCACCTGAATATTGAGGTACTGGTAGCAAGGAAGTACTGCCAAGCTTCTCCCTGTCATTTTTTAATGTATAAAATTAAGTCTGACAGGCCATGGATTGCACATTATTTATTTAAACATTCATGAGTTTCAGCATAGGGAAAGTTTCATTCATAACAACATGGAAGAAGTCTTACTTCAGTTTGCGGAAGTGCAGATTAAAAGCCAGAAAGGCAAATGCCAGAGTGATACCAACAAGAGCTAGGCAGGTGATGCTGAGAAAGGCTGCAGGCTCAATGGTGACCACCCGTAGCTTGCACACACGCTTAGCAATGGGCACCTGACCCCCTTGCCAAACCAACGGTCTACAGTCAGGGCACGAGTAGTCCATGTGGTCAGAGGATGGGTAAAATAGGGCAACCTTCGACACCTCACCACCTGCAGCATGGATATAAAAGACACTTGAAAGAGTAATATTGCCTTGACAGTGCAGAAAGACCTCAATAGTCTTGGGTTAAGATGTTCACACAGAAGGTGCATGCTCAAACCCTCGCAGAGGATACAAAAAATATCCCTGTAACAAATAAACTAATAAAACACTGACAAAATGGATAAATGGAAAAATAACTTATATCTTAGCATACCCACCTCATGTGCAAGTTTGTATAAAAGTTATTGTGGGAGCACTTGAGCATTGCTCTTTCATAATCACCCTTGCATAGGTGCATCAAGTAATACATGGCACAAAAAGAGGTGTATAAGTACATGCCAAAGAAGGCAAAACAAATGAAGATGACCTACTTCTTCACTATGTCCTCTGCTTCCCCTTCCACCATGTATTCTATGCTGTTCGGTGACCATAACAACTTTCCGCCAGGAATATGACAACATGCCATTAAACACAAAAACAAATGTTTTCTTGCTTATTAATCATTAATTATACACATTCTGTACATTTTTCATATTTTGTATACCAATATAATAGTATGCAATCCCTTGAATATGAGATATATTAGACTCCCAAAATCCTACATACATTAAATACACTTTAGACACCACACAATATTTAATATAACTGCAGTGTAATATGAAACAAGTGTTACTGGATTTACCCTGTAAATTTTGTTGAGACATTTGTACATGTTTTAGTATTTTTAATCAAGAAGTGTATACCATAGAAACTTAAAAGACATATCCTTCTTGGATTACTTCCCCCAGGATAATAATTTTTAACCTTATTCTACATATGTTCCCATAAACCACAGTTTTTCCCCATATGCTTTGTCAGTATTGGTCTGTTACCAAAATAATTCTTGAAATTGGTGTGAAACTTCTGTATAGTGATTTGGTGCCCTTCTTACCTTGGACTTGATAGAAAGCAGAGATTCCAATGCGATCCGCTCCACTGAATGATACAGGTCCCTTAAACAAAATAAAAAATTAGCAGTAACTAACATACCTGCAAAACTTTCTTCACATAGAATATGGGAATCACAATGATTAAAACTTTTTTATAAACAATCCATCTCTTAATCAATTAATCTATCACAAATATGACAGAACCAGCACTTTCCATTAAACTTACCGAAACTCCAAGGAAGTCAAGTTGTCCAAGCTGTGACAGAAACTCTTCCGTCATGTCTTTGCGGCCGTAGTCAAAATGATGCAGTGAGATGGGAACCTCGGATGTCTCCCACTTTTGTTGCGCCCCACGCAGAGCTAATGCTATGGCCCATACCGCATCATATGTCTGTGGCGCATAGCGTGTCACTGGCAATGAGAGGAGCTCAAACTCTTCTAGAAATCTTGAATTGGTCTGTGAAAATGTTGCAAGCAACTTTACAGATGATGTACTTGAGCCTCATTAGCATAGACCAATATGTTGCCATCTACCACTCAACTTCTTGCAGATTCTGTCTTTCATGTATTCTTAATAGACCTTATACAGACATAACATAAATTACATTATATTAAATTAACATAACCTGTCATCAAAATCAATTTGATGGAGAAATGTCTAACATTTTAACTTCTCTAGAATCAAACTACATTCTGCAGGATCACCCCTTGTGAGCTGTTTGCAAGTGCTTATTCTATACATATTTGCAGTTACCCATCATTTCTGGAGGCCTTTGATTTCTTCAACAACCAGATGACAAACCATGCCATGGTGACATAAATTACTTGCCCCTAAGGAACATAGGCACTGTAAGTTCTTGTGAGAATGTCATGTTAATTCTTCCACAGTTAGTGAGAGTTAAATGTCTAGTAACCAAAGACAGTGACTTACCAGTCCAGAATAAGAAGGCATGACTCCCACTATGCTATTGTGACTGGATACAAGGAGCAAGCCTTCAACGGCTGCTGTCAGATGGTGCTGGGGACATTCTGTTACATTCTCCCACCAGATATCACTGGGTGCACCCTGCAGGATCCATGCATAGTCTGCTCCATACATACCAAGCTGATGTGCCTGCGACAAACAAACGTGTGTTTGAGAACCACGGATAAAATTCAGCCTCCTGTAACCTGTTAACGAAAAGAAAGATCCCAACGCCGTTACTGGGTATCAAACAGCATCTGCCAGTCATTTCACTGAGCAAACCAGTCAAGTGACTCCACAGAGCAGAGTTCTTAAGAAGCTAACAGTTGCTCACATAGTCAAGAAATTTGTTACCTTTTATGTAACCCAAATGTTTATCATTTTCTTAAAAGCCCACCACTGGATCATATCCTGATCCAGATAAAACAAATCCACATCCTCCTACCTTATTTTTTTTAGTAATTTTATTATCCTCTCATCCATATATACATACCAATTGAACCATCCATTTTAGGATATAAACCTTCAGTATTTACAACACAAAATAGTCTAACCCTTGGACCCGATATTCTTAGTATAAGACAATGGATTCTCATTCAGGGGACTCTGGGTTCAGTCCCCAGTCAGATGTGTGTGCAGATTTTTCTGCTAAGTGACTAAAGCTGTCACCTCTGCCAAAGGTTAAACTCTGAGAATGCAAAAAATATCGGACACCCATCACGGTTCTAGTCCATGCTCATCCCATCTGCTGACCACCATTCTCTCCTTATCACCCTACTACTGGGAGTGACAGGATCTGCCTGTGGGTTTTCCCACCTAAGAAATGGACTTTGTACTCTTGGCTAGGTGCATCAGAGGCCAGGAAGGTCATCATACAGGCCCTACCTAGTTACAAACTAACCATAGCAACCTAGTCCTATGTTACAGACTGATTTTATGGAAGTTACTGAGGAAAACCTATGTATTGCATATATTCTGGACACAACGAGCAAATATTCAGTCTTCAATATGACAAGTTTAGTTACATGGTAGAGAGTTTCCAACATGTGTAACTCTGGCTTTTAGGAATAAACCTCGTAGAATTTACAGGTTCTCATTTTGGCAAACAATGCAGTTGCAATTTTGTTTTTACACGTAAATGACATTTGGTTGTACAGGCAAAAACTATGTCAATGATGGCCAAATGTTTTATGTCTAAAAAAACTGAAGACAATTTTAATTTAGTAAAGCTGAATGGAATTTCTTTTTACAAAGGATCACTGGAGGCAAGCACTAACAAATTGTGAAACACTTTATTTACCATAATGGAAGCTCTTCTTGCATGAAAACAGTGGATGTGGACATTTGTTAATACAAATGCCTTCTGTGGAATGACAATTTTACATACCTCACAGAATATTTTTGGTGCTACTTCATGAGAGAAACTACCAATGATAATCCTTGTATCAAGATCCTGCAAATAAAGACAAAGGACATTATACACCACCAATAAATTCTGTCATTAAGACATTGCATCATTAAAATGTAGACAATGAGCGACGAAAATATTAATAAATAGATTTATCGTGTTGTTAATATCTTTTTTTCATTGTTGTGATGTGGTGAGACCTTGTCTATGTGGAACTGGGTTCTTTTTGGGTTCACTTCAAACCCCTGTATGATACATGGGTCAATATGGAGCAGCAGTGGAATGATACTGACAGGGCAAAGACTAGGTTAGACACGTGTCCCAGTGCCACATTCTCCATCGCAAAAACTGCAGGGTCCACCGTTTCTCGGAGTTTGGGAGAATTATTCCTCCTGGCACTTGCAAGGATGTGAAGGAGCTAGAATTCGCACCACTCCTTTGTCATCTGGACTGGACTTCACTGTCCAAGCATTCTAGCGTCTTGCTCCACTGATCGTTTCTCCACTCGTTCAGTCGATAGGTCGCCGATCTTTTGAAGCGATTGACCAGAGCTTTCTGAGCGGGTTCCCTCGTGACTTGCCACTGCTGCCTCAGTAGATTCTTTAGGTGTATTTCATGTGGAATACTAGCGAGTGTAGGCGGCCGCGGGTCGGCACAAAGTCGACGCATGGGAGCAGTTGCTGCTATGGCCTCTTGGATGGCGCTGGTATTCTCCGCAACGCACTCGTCGAAAACCTCCCCTTCGTTTACCGCGGGATTCACAGTATTAAGTCTGTCCGTCTTATCTACAGCACGGCGTCAATATATATCTTCAACCTGTAACAAGATATCTCAGAGCTCCGTTGACCATTACAAATAAACACATTGACAGCCAGCCAGCCGAGGTACGGAGAGGGAGGGGGTAAGTGTTGGCGTAAAGAGGCATCTTTCTACCCCCTCTTACTGTGACGTAGTCCAGGCTGGCAGATAGTTTGCGTTTTACATACCCAAACTACCAAAACCCGTGCACAAATGATTTAAATTGTTTGATTGTTTCAAATGTTTAAACTTTTGCAATTAATTCAATAAAACTGATATTACGCTGATATTCCCTTTTGTTTAATCGACAACATAAGTTCACCCTCCCCAGCGATCTGCGTCCTATTTCTGTCCTTCCTAGTGTGTACGTGCAGTCTATGTCCTAGCCGAGATACGTTCCTAACGTTATTGGGGACGTAACATACGTGGAATAAATATCGCTCCATTGCCCTGCAGGTGACTGTCTCAACGGATAATTTCCAGCATGTTGGGCTGATGCACAACGGTGTCACCTGATCCGACCTAGCTTCAGTTCAGAAGCATGTACGTAAGCTTATAAGGCAGACGAATCGGCTTAGACTTCAGAGACGGATTATAAAATACCCTCGTGGATAAGGATTTTCTGTCGAAAGTATTATAATTGGATGTCATTACGCTCCTGCACGTTATTTAAGACTGCATGGGCATATCAAAGCGTACAATGACTCATCTGTATGCTTTATGTCTGTTTATAACCTAGTACCTTCATTTATTATGACCTTATTTCATAAATGTTTCTGAATTTTTCTGCTTTACTTTAATAATACGAATAGTTTCTGAACAGTTATGGTTCCAGGATAGGTAAAATTTAATAAAACACCTCATTCCCCCGTTACGTACAAGGAAGTACACTCACAAAGAGACGAGTAAAGGTACCATTAATAAACAAATTTGTTGATAGAACTTCGGATTTCGGGTGTGAGCCGCGTCTAAAGTTTACGGATAACCCTTAACATTGATCTCCAGCCACGAACAAACATTTTCTGAAATGTTTATTTTTCCACCCAGAAGGCAAATCTGGAGTCGCTTCATTTAGCTATAGAATAATGTAACCGAAGCTTAGGATCCAAACAGACCACAAATAAGACGGAATTCAATACAAGTTTTGAAAATATGCAACATTATTACAAACTGAAAAGTCATATATCTCTTTTTTAATATTATTAACAGACGAACATCACATCGAAAAATTATTACTGGCACATTTATGGATGGTGAATGGGAAGAACGATCACATCAAAGAAATACTGTAAATAGTCTACAGAAATAAGAAGCCAAACTTGGGCAACATGGCGCACTTCCGTTTCTTCATTTCTTACCCGCAGCATGCGAAGCTGATCTTTGAAGTCTGACTCTGCGAATGTGATTGTGGCCTGACAGGTGATGTTGGCTTGCTCCAGCTCCGTTACAAGGTCGTTCACTGCCTGTAAAACAGATTATCGATAAATCGCAGAAGAGAACCTGCCCTCGTGCCAAAGCAATGCTACCTCACCGGTACCAGATTGCTTAGGCAGTTGATGTGCTGACTTTAAACATAATTATGAAACAACCATTGGACAATTTCTGTGTTTCAATCTTTTCCACGCGACGGCAAACTAAAATATAACGCAGGTCAATATATCACGGTATACCAAGTCATAAATATGTGGGACAATAGCTAATAACAGTGGACTGACGTCACTAAAATTGGAAAAAAGTAAATCAATTTTTTTTACTATAACACTATACTCTACATGAATTACTATTAAAATATCGAATCATTTTGGTGCGATTGCTGGGGAATTTAATAATACGGCCTGACTTCAAGATTAGTAGTGTCACTGATAGATGTACATAAGGGTACATATGTACAGTGTGTCCGTAAAATAATGGTGGGGTAACAAACAGTCATAGTTTTGGAACAAAGCTCGATAGAGACATGAAATAAACGTCAAAATAAAGAGAAACTCTCCAAGAATCTTAGCTGTTCAGTAGATTTCGATATGCGCTCCTTTAGTTGTCATACAGACATCAAGACGATATTCAAGCTCTTGCCATACACGACCGAGAATTTTTAGACAAGTTTATGTTCAGTGATGAGGTTACATTTCATGTTTCGGGACGAGTCCATCGGCATAATGTTAGAATATGGGGTAATGAACCTCCATATGTCATTATGGAACATCAACGTGATAGCTCGAAAGTTAATGTGTGATGTGCAATTGGACGAGACAGAGTCATTGGCCCCTGCTTTTTTGCTAAACAAACTGTGACGGGAAAGAACTTCCTGGATATGTTAGAAGGGTATGCAGTGCCCCAAATACCGGAGAATTTCATTCTTCAGTTAGATGGAGCAGCTCCACATTTTGCCACATTTGTGCGGGATTGCCTAAACCAAACATTTCCTCAGCGATGTGTCGGACGAGGAGGGTGGATAGGTTGGCCCCGACGCTCTCCAGATCTTACCCCTATGGATTTTTATTTGTGGGGTTATGTGAAGCAACAAGTGTTCTCTGTCCAAATAACAAATTTGGACCATTTGAAAGAACGGATCACTGAAGCTGTTTCATCTATTACACCGGATATTCTCGGTCGTGTATGGAAAGAGCTTGAAAATCGTTTTGATGTCTGCAGGGCAACTAAAGGAGCGCATATCGAAATCTACTGAACAGGTAAGATTCTTGGAGAGTTTCTCTTTATTTTGACGTTTACGATGCTTCGTTCCAAAACTATGACTGTTTGTTACCCCACCATTATTTTACGGACACATTGTATATGAATTCAATTCATTATGTGTTCACGCATAAACTACTGTGCGTTAACTTGATACAAATATACATTCTTCACGTTTACAGGGCATATACCATGAGTCAGCAACCTTTTCTTTGTCGAGGGCCGTATTGGCCATAAAATTAAACAGTTCTTTCTCGGAGAAAAAGGAAGGGCCTGCACGCTACCGACTAGGTGACTCAACCTAGGCTCTATTTTTTATAAGCAACTTGTAAGCGACTTTAAAGCTGAAGGTGGTAGCGGGACTTTGATTCAATTCTTACTATTACCGGAAAAGGTTCTTCACACACGTTTGTTGTGCCAAAAAGTAGGAACACGTCGATGGGTGATCGTGAAAATTATACATTCGTTTCGTACATAAATCTAAAAATCGGGAATAGGCAGAAATTCAATGGCTGTTTCGTAGTTTCGGAATTCACAGAAGAAAAAACAACTTAACTTCTCACTGACTGCAACTGCAAACGGATTTCTGCTGAAAAAGAGTTCATATCGTGCAAAGGTCATACACACCAGTGAATAGACGTCTTCATTTTGGCTGAGTGCAGTGACAGTGTCCCAGCCTAGACCTCTGACGAAGGCGAGACGGGCCGGATTGTGTGACGAATCTGGTGCCACTGTGCGGTAGAACAGGGGAAACTCCTGACGGTCACTCAGCGCTGGCGCCGTCGAACCGAAAGAAACCTGGAACATGTAACAAACAACGAAGTTGCTTCGTAAAGCACTGTACGTTTATCAGTTACTTCTTTTGAAATTGGTTGTCGGTAAATTCAGGCTGTCAATGCCTAAGGCGTGTCACGACATTATATTTTTTTTATATATGTTGGCAATACTGAGACGACACCTCAGTATGTAAGAATTTGAAAATAATGAACCTTTTCACTTCAAAATTATTTTAAACTAAACAAAATAGCTTCGTGTATTTAAAATAAGTATATTTTATTTCAGTGATATTAATATGACAAATAGTATGTTTTTGTGGTTCTAAAGGCTATGTTAAACACTGCCAAATGTCTACGTTACATTTAATAATATAGCCTACATGATGGTTCTGTCGTTTCGACGTTTCGACACAGTCTGACCTTATGCTAGCAACGTTAAATAAATTACATAAAATAAATATAAATTTGTTAGGTGGCTATACCCGTCTTCATATGATTCGTAATCACACTGACAAATGTGTTCAGGGTAGAACGACTAACTCAGAGCGGCACATCTGAAATTCCGCATCTAAAGAACTCCTCCTACTGAAATGTGAATGAGGTTTGTTCCTTCATGACAACGACCGGTCTGCAAATACTCTAGGCAGTTACAGACGTGTAATGGACCATTCTCTCCAGTCCTGCTTACATATTGAATCTTGCACCCTCAAGCAATCACCTCTTAATCCTGCTAAAGGATAGACCATGTGGGTAACAGTTTAAAAATGACAATGACGTTCATATCTAGTGACAATTATGTTATATAAAACATATTTGTTTTGAAATTAATTGTAACTGAACATAAATTTCGTACGTGAGGTATGGTGGATGTAGCCACCACTGTCACTACAAAACTGACATCAGACGTTATTATCACACTGAGGAACAATACGCGTTACATTTTCAGAATGAACAACATAAAAATAAATTACTACCTGATATTTCATATAAACATACCTTTGACAAACAGGGCAAGATAATTAATTAATGATTTGTTTATTTCTTCCTATATATTACTTTCCTCTTGTCTCTTTATTGTTAAGAAAATGAGTTCCCTGGACGCAATAACACACGGTATTTAGTTTGTATCACGAACACAAGTCTGCGCTGCTGGCAGCTATCAATGTCATGTGTTAAAACTATACGCTCAAATTCCTGATTCTCCATCCACATTACAATAATCTTTATTCGAAGATTTACGATAGTGGAGACAAACAGAGAACAGTCTAATTTTTTAAAATTTATTTAGGTATGGACGCAGTGAGACGTTTCTAACTGCATTTACATTTCTTTCGCAACAAAATAACTGATACAGGCTTAGCCCGACTGACCTATCATCGCGGTCGGGTGGGGTCCAAAGTTTAAATTCCGGCCTGGAGACCATCTGCATTGAATATTTCTGTGGTTTTCTTTAGTCCCTCCGGGCAAATACAGGGATGGTACCGAAATTAGGCCATGACAGCTTCTTTCTATATCCTTCCAAATTATTTGTTCACTAATCATCATATCATCCGACGCTATATTATAATTTCAGCAAATTAAATTGTCGTAAAAGTAAACCATGAACATGCACTTGATCACCGGTGTGGAAATTTCAACGCGCGCCTCAAAAGAAATCGATAGCCTATCGTTTACTCTCGCCATTTGCCATCAGGAGAGGCTGACATTTAGAAATGTCTACCCACTTGAACCAATTAATTATTGCAATCATTAAAACCGTCATAATTATGTAGTCAACAGTGTAGTGTGGGAGGCACTAACTTAAATGCGCTTTGATATTTGTCACGCGGACTACAAAGAACACGCAATAGGTCACATTACAGACGTATGAGAAAATTTCGTCACACGTGATTAACTGCAACATAATTTCCTGTTGGAGTTAAATTGTTCTACAGTGATAACACGTTTATTTAACTGAGCACGGAAGGGTTGATTAAATTCTAAGGTTAAGAAATGTTGAGTTGTTTTTGTGGTAATCCAAAATTTCTTTAGACTATTTTAAAATAGTTTCGTAATCCTACCTGTGAGCATGTCTTGTACAACTGTACAACATTGTCCTGTATTACCGGTAAAATTACTTATTTATTTAACCATACGTAACATCGAATGATTACTAATTTAAGCTACAAATTTAATACACAATTGTTAATTTTGGAGCTATAATGGCATAATCTATCTGATACAGACATTTCATTCCATGGAGCAGCGTCCTTCCTGAGAAGCTAGTAGTCGCTTAGGTGGTAAGGAAATACCTCGACTTTTATGGGGTGAAATCTGATTACCGTGCTCACATTAACTCACAAATTTTCATATAATAGAACATTTGACTCCAATGAAGGAAGAAATTAATACTGATGTCTGGAAATGTGCCTTATATTATTCATTTAATTACAGTGTCAGCAGCTCAGATTGAGTAGCGTCGAATAGCAGGTTGGTTAATGAACGGGCTTTGCCTGATTTAAGCCAGGATTATTCTGGAATTTGTCTGGAGATACTGAGGACAACGACGAAAAATCTAAGTAAGAATTGCCGGTCTCCAAAAAGAGATTCAAACTCGGTTCCTCTCAAATACGAAGAACCAGTACATTAGTTGCTGAATCACGATTTTCGCGGTATGTATGTTTTGTTTGTGTGTGTGTGTTGTCTTTTGGGGTTGAAAATACTTGTTTTAACGGTCTTTTAGTTTGTCTGGTTACAAACTATGACCTCACGTCCTAAAAAACGCTTATATTGAAAATATATAAGTTAAACGTAAAGGAAATATCCGAATATATAAGTCATTCAAAATGTAGGGAACATAGAATGTTGCATACTGGTTTTGTTGAAATTGATTCTCAGACACTGCCACTGAAATTCTAATATGCAAAACATTTTCCGGACATTTAAATTTTCCAAATAAAGGAAACAATACCTCTTTAAAAAAGTACTTTTAATATGGAAGTCCTTTAATTTATTAAATAAAGATCTAGAAATGTACAAGTAAATTATGAAGCATTTATATGCGCTGTTATTTACATGTAACACAATAATTGAAAGTTAACATTTCTTGACAGCCTTAATTTGATTTTTTTCTTCTTTTACGTTATTTTGCCTGCCGGGCAGGTAAATGCTTTGGGGTCCCATACCTTTCGTTC